CTTGCATCAGGAGGATGGTCCAGATTAGGCACACATGACTGAAGCTGGAAAACTCACCACACTACGGTATTATTTCACGTGATGCACAGACAAACACTGCGCAGGCTTGCCCAAGAAGCGGACGTCCACGTGTAGTTTTAATGTAAACACATGGTTATGATCCATTCCTCCTTGGGCCAGCGCCACCTACTGCCAGGCAGACCTAAGAATCCACCACAGACCTGTTTTGGCAAACACAGTGCTTTGGATGTCAACGGCTTATCTGTGTATTAGTATTAATTAATATATACATGTATACGGTAATGTTCCAATAGTTAGATGGAAGTTCAGGTTTTGGTTTGTTTGTTGTTTAACGCTGCACTCACCAATGTTCCAGCTATATCTGTAAATTATCGAGTCTGGACCAGACGATCTAGTGATTGACATCATGAGCATTGATCCACGCAATTGGGATCGATGGCATGCATCAACCAAGTCAGCGAGCCTGAACACCCGATCCCGTTAGTCGCCTCTTACTTCAAGCATAGTCGCATTTTACAGCAAGCATGGGTTGCTGAAGACCTATTCTACACCATATATATATATGCTTTGTTTCTTTGTTGTTTAACGCCAGACTCGACAATATTCCAGCTATATGACAGCGGTCTGTAAATAACCGAGACTAGACCAGACAATCCAGTGATTGATCTCATGAGCATCGATCTACACTATTGGGATATGATGACATGCATCAACCAAGTCACTAAGTCTGCCCACCTGATACCTTTAGTCACTTCTTAAAGTTAATATACACATGCACAAAAGTTAAGCGCCACCATATTCATAGTCTCTTGATTTCACGCGTGGGGATCAGAAATACGAAATATGATGATGTATGACTGAATTAGGCTTCCGTAGTTTCATGAACCCAAATTTGTACAGATACCACAAGGAAAGCGTGCTTTACGTGTTGCTGCAGTTCCCCTACCCTATAAATAGTGAAATTCAAGTTTCAGACACGTGGTTGCATTTTGCTCCTGTGTGAGATTCCCTTTCCAATAGAGGTTGAAAATCAGCCAGGGTGAGGAGAAAGTTTACGAACGCTGAAAGACGGCAAGTGATAGGCATGAAAAATGCTGGCATGTCGTGCAGGGCCATTGCAAGACAAATGGGTCGTCATCACAGTGTCTGTCATGATATGGGGTTGTGTTTCCTTCGACTGCAAACTTCCGCTGGTGACAGTTCGTGGAAACCTGAATGGCCAACAATACCAAGATGCCGTTCTTCGTCCAGTGGTAGTCCCTCGTTTTGACAACCATCCTCTTCAGACAAGACCTGTTTACATGGACGACAATGCTAGACCACAAATATCTCGGGCAGTTTTGGCTTATTTGCGCCAAGAAGCATTCCCTAGGGTGTCTATGTGACACCTGATATGGTCTGCTGATATCATGACAGTTACATGACAAAAAAAAGTTTTTCACTGTTTTCTATTCCTTCAATTTCTGGTCTTCGGTAAAATTCCATTCTGCTCATATTCTTTTGGAACACAAGATAAACCTGCTTTGGGACAACTTTTGCATCACATGAGGTTTACATATACGGCTTATAACAATCGTACATCTCGTTATAATAGTCATCATTAAGTGCCAAAAGTAACAGCTCACAAATATGGTGGGTGGCGCTTAACTTTTGTGCATGTGTATATATGCATAGTTCACTGTTTCCACAAGTTTATTTTGAACTGGGAGGTTATACTTGCCTAGATAGTTAAATATCCTAACAAACTTTGACCAGTTTTAACATGGAAACCTCACTCACCGACACTGTATACTGCAAACCAGTCCTTGTTTTATCACCTTAATACTGTGTGCCAAGAAGTGTCATAAAAAGTAACATCGTTTAATGTCTTTTGGTCGGTGGCCGGGATCGAACTACCGACCTTCCTCTCTACAGGCACTCTATCCATGAGACCACGGAGGTGGTTGGTTGATGCGGGAGGAAAGTCCCAATTAAACCAGTACATGGACATTTACCCCTTATGGTGAAACTCACAAACACCATTACGACGCTGGCACACCATATTATCATACCTTCATGTCAGAATGATGAGATCTGATTGGTCCACGTGATCTTGATAAAATACTGTGTATCCAGCTTTGGAGGGAAAAATAATTCTCAGCGGGTGAATAAACATGATAAATGCCTTATACCCCGCCACGAGCAAGTCAGGCACATAGATGTCTGAGATACAGACTGACATAGCACAAGTTAATATCAGCTCAATCGTTTTGTTTTCTATCAATTTTGAATTTGTTTCAATTGTTGTACAATGTCATATTAAAACATGTCGGTAAGATAAATTTGTTGGGAAACTGGACTTTTAAAGTCAGTTAACTCTCTTGCCTCGGGAGGATTGGAACACTCATGGTACATGGGGTTTTATGCTTCAGGTTCCTAGTATAAAACCTAACGCGGGACACATAAAACCCCATGTACTTAAACTAAAAACCCACAGCCAGCTGATCCTGTCATGGCCAAGGGATACAACTCTGCACATCAGGTTGTGGCACCTTAAAATTGTGGCAACAGAGCCCCATGGAAACAAGACTGTTTATCATCCAGCACCATTGTAGCCATTCAATCCCCATTTAGTTGCTTTTTTCAGCCAGCATGGATTGTTGGAAATTTACTGAACACTTTGTTACAATAAGCAAAATAAACAGAGTGAGTGAGTGAGTTGGGTTTAACGCCGCTTTTAACAGTATTCCAGTTATATCGCGGCGTGTCAGCTTAATGTGGGAGGAAAGCCCAAAGTGATGCAGGTCTTAAGTGTTTACCACTTTGGTGAAACCCACGAGCATGGGTTTGGTGCTGACAAACCTAGAAACGTCGTCATCGTGGCGAACCGGGATTCGAACCCACAATCATAGGTTTCTTGCGTGCCCAAGGGATGCAACTCTGCACAGGGAATCGCGGCGCCTTAGACGACTGGGTCACCCGTGCCCCCAAACGAAACAGAGAAATCAACAACAAAATCAAAATAATTGCATTTATTTCACATACCATCACAATATTTGACACTGTACATTACCATCCCCTCATGTTTTATTAAATCTCATTCTCATACACCAGCTTGCAAACATGCTAGGATCATGATATTAATATTCACAAACTTATTGACAATGACAGTTCCAGCAAAAATGTATGTGTTTGTGCACTCAGCATCATTCCAGCTATATGCCATCACTCTGTAAACAAGCATGGACCAGACAATGCAGTGATTGATATTACGAGGATGATCAACAATCATCTGCATCACTGAGTCTGACCACCTGATGCAATTGGTCACCTGTCACGACCTGTATAGGATGCTAGCAACCCAGAATCCCAGCAACATGAAGCAATTTGCATCATACCGTATTCGACGTAATAAGTGTCCATGGCGATATTTGCTAATATATTGCAAAGTGAACAATCCCAACTAGCACGCCTTCCGATTGATCAATGTACACAAGACTTATTTTATTCGTGTATAATACACACTCGTGTGTTATATGCACCCTTAATTATGGGCAATTAAATTCTGGAAAAATATATCTGTCGTATATAAACATTTCAGGCTGTCTGCATAAACCACGAAATTTATCTTTCAACTCTGTTATTTACACCAAAATAACATTCTAATAAGAGACCCGTATTTCTAATTTTGAGAGCGCCTGAGGTGCTTATTACGTCGAATACGGTAATTAATGTTTGATTATCAACATAAGTGATAATAAACAGTTGCTTATGACAAATTGAACTTTACAGAATAACATGAAAATGGCAACAATGATGCACAATTTCACAAACAATAATACAATGTTCATTCACAAGGTGATAGTTCAAGCATACACCTAATACATGTTTTGTTGTGAACTTTTGCCGACACACTTCAGTTCCTGTTAGGCTAAAAAAAATATAGTCTTGGTTCTCAGGCACCGCCCGCATCATCATAAAGATTGCTGCACGTTTCGTTTTTTATTTCCATTTTTTTTTAAAAAGCAAAAAATCCTTAGATTTTCCAGTTCAACGGTAGTCAAATACTGTATTCCAGTATTTAATTCATCAAGTAATTAATATGTATATGGAGGCCTTTACACCGCCAGCCCGCACTATTTTTTCAAAAACTTTGCCTGAGAACCAATTCTTTTATTTTTTTAAGCCTTAGTTTTCAGAAACAATAACCTAGAATACTTGTATACACTTTTAGAAAAATCTTAACATAAAAGTGTATAATCATTCAAATATATTCTGTGTGTTACGGCTGCCCTTGACAACTGCCTAAAACACTGAAATGACTTAATGATGAGAGCATTTACATGTAATTAGGATAATGTCTCATCTGACATATCAAAGTTCAGCTGAGGTAATGAATGGTGTACCATTTAATCGTGATGGTCTCCTTTGTTTCTCGTTATGATTCCCGTTATCTTCTTCCATTGTGCTGCATTACATGCTAATACAGCCATTACATAAAGGCCTCTCACATTTCTCTACTTTACAGAACAATAGGGAACTATCAGTCATGTCCCGGACTAAACCTGTCATGTTGGTGATACACTTTATGGACATTTGTAATGCCGCTAGACCTTGAATCAAGGGAGTACTGTCGGAAATGCTAGAAAACTGCTTTTTGCCTGAAAAAAAGTATATTTTTCACAGCTGTTGTTATTGAAATATCGAGTAACTACCGATCGCCCTACCTGTGGTTTGAAGTATTTTGGTCACAAGGAGTCCTATCGACAAGTTTACAGGAGACAAATTCAAACGAAAACAGGAAGTTCACATTTATTCTAAGTCCAATAATGACAGTCTGCAACGGACTATGGAAATATGCACACGTGACTCTGTTATGATGATAATAATGTAGTCTTCATAAAATAATCTAATCCACACACAAAAATCATTTTGAGAAAATTCTAGATGTGGATCTTCTGAAATGACAAAATGATGCTGTGTTTTTTGGGTTAACATTGCTCCCATGATGCATGTTACATTACACTTGCAGAGCTATAAGGGTAATCACAATGTCAGTTTGGACAGGCTAGATTAGGTCAATTCGCGTTATTTTGATATATGCTCTTTTTTTAGTCCTATGACTCGTATTTATGACATGAAACCAGAAAAGCATTTTTCTAGCATTTCCGACAGTTCTTTAGTTCACAACGTAGTAAAATACAAATCAAAAGAAGTTAAAGATATTTTTCATTTGACAGATTAACTGACATAGGAAAAAATTGGGTGTTGTTTAACTTCTAACCACTAGGCTACCCCACTGCCCGCAGGTATAAGATGATTACCACTTTGGTGAAACCCACGAGCACGGAAATGGTGCTGACAAACCTAGAAACTTAATCAGGATGAATTTGGGATTCGAACTCTGAACAAGTGTTCCCCAGTACAACTTGGAGCCAATTAACGGTATCACTGTTCCCAAGACACAGGAGCATGCTACTAAATGCAGCTAGGGGAGCGAGAACCCGGATGCTATACTGTTACAAGTGGCAGCATGTAGTGTATTGTACATCTGGGTTATGGGAGGTCTGGAATCTTCATCAGTGCTCACAGAGTTACATTCAAAGAAGACCAAGTTCAAATCAATCTAAAACGAAATCATCACATTGGCCGTACTTCATAAACGCATTCCAGTTACCACCTCCTGACAAAAAAATTATCTCTGAACACTTCATGCTGTAAACACTTCATGATAAAGATGATCTGCCCACAGTACAGAGTGAGTGAGTGAGTTGGGTTTGACACCGCTTTTAACAGTATTCCAGTTATATCGCGGCGTGTCAGCTTAATGTGGGAGGAAAGCCCGAAGGGATGCAGGTCTCAGACGTTTACCACTTCGGTGAAACCCATGAGCACGGGTATGGTGCTGACCAACCTAGAAACATAATCGGGGCGAACCGGGATTCGAACCCAAAATCATAGGTTTCTGGCGTGCCCAAGGGGCGCAACTCTGGACAGCGAATCGTGGCGCCTTAGATGACTGGGCCACCAGTGCCCCGCCACAGTACAGAAGTATCCAGCTTAAAACATAGCAGTTCCTGTCATTCCTCAAGGACCTTGGCTTACAAGCTCATTTCCCCAATAATCCACACTTTCCTTCACTCTCCATACATACTAACCAGGTTAAAACATGCCCAGTTCATCGCCCTGTTATCCTCACTGTCGTAATACCTGACACCATGCTAGGGTTCCTTTTCTGAGACTTACTCCCTGGGGGTCCTGGTGGCACTGGGTGTGGTCCTCCCTGGGGTGGGGGTGGGAATCTAGCCCCGGGAGGGAATCCTGGTGGGGCACCTGGAGGAGCCCCGGGGGGTGGCGCACCCGCTGGGTAACCTGCTGGGGGGGCTGCTGTTCCGTGTGGGGGTGGCTGTGATCCATACTGTGGGGGGAAGGGATAGGCGGGGGCGGGGTAGGGTGGTTGAGTGGGTGGTGGGTGGGTCGAGGCTGGGTAACCTGCTGGGGGTGGGTAGTTTGGGGGGAAGGCTGCATTGTAGGGGGGTCTTGGAGCTGTAGTGGTGGAGGTTGCAGTGTACTGGGGGTTGGCTGTCTGAGCGTATGTTGCTGCAGGTGGGTAGCCTGCCGGTGGGTAGCCGGGGACAGGATAGTGGGCAGGGGGGGGAGCAGCAGGCTGAGCCTGCCCTGGGGGGTAGGTGGGGTACTGGGCAGTGGTGGTGGGGGTGCCGGATATCAGAGGCTGAATGGCCTGATTGCCCTCCTGGGACATGAAGGACGAGGAATACATGCTGCGGTCGACGTAGGGGTTGTAGGAGGAGATGCCGCTAGAGGGCGCCACTGTCGTCGCAACAGTTGTCGGTGGAGGTGGGACTGTCTTCTGGCTGCCATTGACACTCTTCTTTTCAGGAACCTCTTTTCTTGCTTTCTTGGAATCATTTGGCGAGCTCTGGTAAAATACAGAAAGAGGTTAGCTGCACTTCAAAATTATTTCACAAAAGATGAGAGAGTACTAGATCACATAATACAGCATCTAAGGAGTTTGAAAATGATTGGTTTGTTGTTTGACATCGCACTCAGCAATATTCCAGCTAGGCCTATTTGACGGCGGTCGGTAAATAATCGAGTCTGCATGCATCAACCAAGTCAGCGAGCCTGACCACCCGATCCCGTTAGTCGCCTCTTTCGACAAGCATAGTCGCCTTTTACGGCAAGCATGGGTTGCTGAAGACCTATTCTACCCCTGACCTTCACGGGTAACTTTTTAAAGTAATAATAACAGTCAATGCTTCACAACTTGGCTGACATTGAAAATTGAACAGAATCTGAGTCTGAGTGAGTGAGTGAGTTTGGTTTAACGCCGCTTTTAACAGTTTTCCATTTATATCACGGCGTGTCAGCTTAATGTGGGAGGATTCGAATAAACAATCATAGGTTTCTGGCGTGCCCAAGGGACACAACTCTGCGCCTTAGAGGACTGGGCCACTCGTGCTGCCGAATCTGAGTCTGAACTGGATGAATGCACAAAAATCTGGTGGGTGATACCATCACTATGTCAACTCACCACTCTCTTCCTGCTGGGCACGGCAGGGGAGGGTGGGGTGGGAGCTCCCATCTTGGGGGGACTTGGGGGAGGGGACTCCCCCTTCTGGAGGCTGTCCTTGTTCTGCTGAGAGTACAGGTCCAACACTTGATGACACAGATCTGGGGGAACAAGAACAGACTCTACAACAACGGATCCAGTGACACTAGGGCACTCATCTTTGTTGCTTAACGCTGCTCTCAGCAACATACCAGAGATCTGAAGGCAGTTTGTAAATAATAATGTCTAGACCACACAATCTAGTGATTGACATTATGAGCATTAATCTCAATTGGGATACGATGACATGCATCGACCAAGTCAACAAGCCTGACCACCCAAACCCGTTAGTCGTTTCTTACAACAAGCGTGATTTGCTGCAGACCAACCTGGATCTTCATGGGGCTGGTGCACTCCAAACTCCATAGCCATGATAACCCAGAGATCCAGATAAGTTTTTGAGCAATTGAGTTTTTACTCTATGGTTTCTATTTTTATTGGTTTTTTACATTTTTCAATATTTTTTCACTCATCTATTCATCACTCTATTGTTTTTTTCCCAAAAATTAGTGAACATTTTAAGATTTAAAAAAAATGAAATAATGTTTTCGATGTATATTACTGTTCTAGATATATAGGCTTGACTTAATTAGCTCGTAATTGTGTTTCGGAAATTACCTCCTTTTTAGGTGAGATGAAATGGGGTTTAACGTCGCGTCCAAGATTATTGCACTTATATAGCGACGTGCATGTACGTGTATGTGTGTGTGTGGCTGCTCGTACTAGTCCAGACTGATGCCGATTTATAGTGTTAGCATACTGAGATACCATGCTGCAGTTTAACATGAATACCCCACTCAGACACAGTATACTGACTCCGAGCCGACCAGTCCTTGTTTTAGCCCCCTTAAAGCCAAGCGCCAGACAGGGTAACAACAAGTACCATCTTTTAACGTCTTTTGGTATGAGGCGGCTGGGGATCAAACCCCAGACCTTCCGCTCTCCGGGCGGACGCTCTACCACCTCCTTTATAAGCATGATGGAGAAGATTCATTAGGTATTTAGGCGTGCTGTTTTTATACATTTGAATTTTTCATTTAATGCATGCATTTCTGTACCCAAGTTAATTGAAAGTAATTGGGTTTTGAATATATTTTTTTGTTGGGGGGGGGGTATTTTACGCAGCTTATCTGTAGCTCTGTAACCAGTGTGCAATGCCACTGAGAATAAGATTTTACACCACTTTCAGCAATGTTATGATGTGAGACACAACTGTCATGTCAAAATCAGGTTTTCATCATGATGATTTTAAGCCTCTTCCTTAAACAAGTAATGAGTGAGTATTGTGTTACGCCTCTTTTCGCAACATTCCCGCAATATCATGGCAGGGGACACCAGAAATGGGTTTCACACAATGTACCCAATTCGGGAATCAAACCCGGGTCTTCAGGGCGATGAGCAAACACTTTCACCACTAGGCTACCGAACCGCCCCTAAACAAGTAATACTGGGGACCAAGCAGGTATAGTTTGGTCGAGCCTGGGCTCCTTCTGAAAATTAATTTTGGGAAAAACTGAACAAAATGCTGGCTGGAAGTAATGTTACGGTAAGAACAAAAGTCCTGTGTTGACAAATTGAGGGAATTTCAAATTTTATCTCTTGAAGATCCCAGGATTCCCGAAAATAACATGTACCGTATTCGACCTATTAAGTGCCCAGGGCACTCTCAAAATTAGATATTGGGGGCTCTTATTAGAATATTATTTTGTTGGAAAAAACAGAGTTGAAAGATAAATTTCGTGGATTATGCTGACAGCCTGAACTGTTCATATATACGACAGATATATTTTTCCAAAATTTAATTGCCCATAATTTAGGGTGCATATAACACACGAGGGCGTATTATACACGAATAGATCAGTCTTGTGTACATTGATCAATCGGAAGGGGTGCTAATTGGGATTGTTCACTTATTCTGAATGCTGTACTATTGTTCATCTCTCCACAGTCTGGGATATAATGTGAGTGTTTGTTTGTTTGTTTGTTGTTGTTTAATGCCGCACTCAGCAATATTCCAGCTATATCACAGCGTGTCAGCTTAATGTGGGAGGAAAGCCCAAAGTGAAGCAGGTCTTAAGCTGTTACAACTTCGGTGAAATCAACGAGCACGGGTATGGTGCTGACAAACCTAGAAACATAATCGGGGCAAACTGGGACTCAAACTCACGAACATAGGTTTCTGGCACGCATAAGGGATGCAACTCTGCACATTGAAAAGCTGGGCCTTAGACAACTGGGCCACCCCTCTGGGATATAAACCAGTACAGTAATGTGACTGATATGGTTGGTGTGTATAAAAACAGGCCCTGTACAAATCATCACTAACTGCAATGAAATATTATTCAGGTTTGACAATGTTTGTTTCTTTATACCACAGTTCGAGATATCTAGCTACCAGTCTATCACAGTGGCGTGGAACATGACTGGCAAGTAATCAAATCTGGACAAGACAAACCAGTGATTGATATTATGAGCATTGTCCGACGCCTTCAGCCTGACCACCTGGTTGTCCATAGTTGGCTCTCATGACAAACAGTGAGTGAGTGAGTATGGTTTTACGCCGCTTTTATCAATATTCCAGCAATATCACGGCCGGGTACACCAGAAATGGGCTTCACACAATGTACCCATGTCGGGAATCGAACCCGGGTCTTCGGCGTGACGAGCGAACGCTTTAACCACTAGGCTACCCGACAGCCCCCATGACAAACAGATACAGGGGATACTATTTTTCCCTTGACACCTCATCAGGTCAAATTTGTGGAAAAAGGAATCAACCAATATATTGGTGAAAACATACTTTCATAAAGATTGATTTTTAAAATAATATCTGTCCCTGTGTTATGGAGTTTTCGGAGGCTTAAGAAACATTCAAAGTGTCCTCTCTAATCACATGAACAACTGCAAAGCACAGGGATAAGGATGGATATTTTCCTTTTCAGCTGAAACTTCTTTTCAATGGAGCATGGTCCCTAATCTGGATGTGTTTAACAACATTTGCGGAACATTGCGGATACTCATAATATTCTCACCCATGAAAACATCTCATTCACTTTTAATAAACAACTTTCTCTTAAACACAAGCCATCATCTGAGTATTTACAATGTCTGTGAGATGCTACCCCCCCCCCCTCCCGTTGTTATAGCGCGAGTAACCTTGGTCTGAAAACCTTTGAGCGAGTGAGTGAGTATGGTTTTACGCCGCTTTTGGCAATATTCCAGCAATTTCACGGCGGGGGACACCAGAAATGGGCTTCACACATTGTACCCATGTTGGGAATCGAACCCGGGTCTTCGACGTGACAAGCGAAGGCTTTAACCACTAGGCTACCCGACCGCCCCTCGAAAACCTTTGACCCGACGATACATACATGAATGGATTCTATATATGAAGCCATGTTATGAGGATGGAGAGAACAAGTTCTTCGTTTGAGTCTCTTGAACTACAAACCGGGACAACAGTCTCCTCACCTTCCATCAAGGGCATGGACAGATCTTCAAGGAGGAACTCCCACCACTTCATTTCTCTTCCATGCACTTTCCCCTCCCAGTCTGTGATCTCATACTTCTGGAGGCGGGATGCGAGGTACATCAACGATGTTGCGATGATCTCGGGCTCCCACTGGAGACACAGCGTGGTGCACAGACTGCAGGACACAACATAGACATGTGACACAAATTAAGACTTCTGGCAATGGCCTTTTCAAACGAATGAGAATGGAAGTCGTCAGTTTGAAACTGGTGCCGCACACTCAAGAAAGCTGCTTTCTAAGTGCCAATGTCAACTTCCTGTTAGTCATTTCATTGGTCGATCATAGTTCGTCAAAGGTCGTTCTGACGTGACCTGTAATGGGATGTCCTCAGCGGTAGCGAGAACTTGATCTGATTATAATGAGATTGAGATAATCTAAGCATGTGATTAATCCTGTTTTGTTTATTTAAAGCATTAATTGTTTATTGTTAGGCAAGTTTATCTCTGCAGCCGTTGTAATATGCAGCTAGCAGGCGACTCAACTCGCATCAAAACACGAGCTGTGTACTCGCGGGCACATGACTACGGAGTACGCTGATCACTGTGTCAGACTAACGAGTCTGATTAATGAGTGATTTCAGTAATTCGTTGCCAATTACGTGTGTTGGAGTCGGTGTGCGAGACTGTCGGATTAACGGGTCTAAATAGCACTGATTTAATCGGTTCCCATCATTAGTGTCAGCTAAAGCCGATTGTGGGATTAACGAGTGTCGGAATAACGAGACTTGACTGTATTGTAGGAGCTACTGTTACCATCTCAGCAGCCTGTTGGTGCTGTAGTTACTGTGAAGTCACATCGTACATGTCATCCATGATCTATGAGAAACTAAAGCTGGCTAACGATACAATTGATAGAGATCAATAATCGTTAACTAAATTTTGATCAATTATCAAAATTGCTTTTTGTCTCTGGCAATTGATATGATTGACAATTACAAGACTTATTCGGTAGATTTAAACTCTATTTCATTACAATTGTTCATATAAGATATTATCGATGACACAATTTTCATATCGATAAATGTTAATATTACTTCCCATTGACGATGATTCCGATTATTGATCATTTTAGCCAGCCCAAAGAAAAATAAATGCTTCCTGTCGTCTGTAATGTCAGTGAACTAAACGAGGTGGTAACCGACTGACATGTCACGTACCTGTCATTGATGAATGTCCAGGCCATCTGAACAATCTTCTGTACCTTCTCCTTGTCACCTGGAACACACACGGTACTCAGACATCAACACACGGTACACAGAGATCAACACACGGTACACCGAGATCAACACACGGTACACCAAGATCAACACACGGTACACGGAGATCAACACACGGTACACCGAGATGAACACATACACATTAAACAGCTTTATATGGGGCTTCATAATAAGTACTGGGGACCTATTCTTCCCTGCAGTCCCCATGGGTGCCTGAGATGCTGAGCATACCTTTGAGTATCTTGGCAAACTTGAGGAGTGAGCTGTGAGGGTGCTCCACTTGCAGGTCGAATTTGATGGTCTGCAGCAGGATCCTCTCCAGCGTCATCACCTCCTCCTGTAGACACAAAGGGAGAGAATTACACATGGGGAGAGCATTATATACAGGGAGAGCATTACACACTGGGAGAGCATTACACACACACACACACACACACACACACACACACACACACACACACACACACACACACACACACACACACACACACACACACACACACACACACACACACACACACACACACACACACACACACACACACAGATCATTACTAATTCATGTTTTTTGCTATATTTAAAACATATCCCATCATCATTAATACAGAACAATAACTTTAGTAAGCAAATATTTAAATGGTTAATTTTTTGTGCTTGGTTTCAATCATGTCTTGAAAGTAATTTTATATCAAATATCTTACAATCGAGCCATGTTTGGAGGATATTTACTCCAATTATTTAATAAACTTCAAACTCCTGACTTTCAATGTTTGTGAAGAGTGTTATGAAGGCTTGACACCTCTTCATCATTGTTGACAACCCTACAAGGCTGTATGTGTGAAAATAAGTTACTAGGAGAGACTCCCTTAAGCCACATGACGACTCACTCTAGGATTGTCTCCAAAGGCAGCAAATGACTGGGGGCTGAGGAGGCCATGACAGGTGCGGATGATGTCTTTACACTTCTTGGGCGTCTCTTCCACCTTCCCTGCGAGGAACAGGCAGCAGGCAGCCGTCACCTGAACACACACAAAGATTTCAATGTCAGACACCTGGTGCTCAACAGATAGTAGCTACAATCTCAGACACCAGGTGCTCAACAGATAGTAGCTACAATCTCAGACACCGGGTGCTCAACAGACACAGTAGCTACAATCTCAGACACCAGGTGATCAACAGGCAGTAGCTACAATCTCAGACACCTGGTGCTCAACAGACAAAGTGTCTACAATCTCACACACCAGGTGCTCAACAGATAGTAGCTACAATCTCACACACCAGGTGCTCAACAGATAGTAGCTACAATCTCACACACCAGGTGCTCAACAGATAGTAGCTACAATCTCACACACCAGGTGCTCAACAGACGCAGTAGCTACAATCTCAGACACCAGGTGCTCAAAAGATAGTAGCTACAATCTCACACACCAGGTGCTCAACAGATAGTAGCTACAATCTCACACACCAGGTGCTCAACAGACGCAGTAGCTACAATCTCAGACACCAGGTGCTCAACAGATGCAGTAGCTACAATCTCAGACACCAGGTGCTCAACAGACACAGTAGCTACAATCTCACACACCTGGTGCTCAACAGACCCAGTAGCTACAATCTCAGACACCAGGTGCTCAACAGATAGTAGCTACAATCTGAGACACCTGGTGCTCAACAGACGCAGTAGCTACAATCTTAGACACCTGGTGCTCAACAAACAGAAGCCATAAGTACAAATAATATTTTTACTCTAAAAAATACATATTTTACCTTATCCTGACTCACACTAATTGCTTGAATCCTAAATAAGGTGGTGGGTTCCAGCAAGTTTCTGATTCAGACTGTAATCTGTCCATATAACATGTATAAGCCCACGGGAACATGAATCTTCTTACTTCTTCTTATATCCTTGTGGGGTACCACCTCCTTCTTCATGAAAAGATAGGTGTAAATCTGTTAGATTTGCGGATTTGTAAATTTTGCTGAATCCAGCCTGTGTGACCATGGGTGAGTGTAGTAAGGTGTATCTTCTAGTAGGCATTGTGAGTTGTTGTGGGCTACTAATGGTCCAAATTGATGAATTCCTGCGACATCCTTCGTAGCAAAATCTCAAAGATAGTGATTTGTGAAGACAGTGTCCGATCTCAAAACACAACTTTCCTAATCATCGGGACGGAGCATCAGTTCCCCATCATCGGTAGGCACGGAATCCCCTGGATCCTTGGCCACACCACGAACAGAAGACGTCTTGCCACCTCCGCAGTTAGAAAACTTGTCTTTAGCTTTATGGATTCCAGAAAATCTGCTCTTGAACTGTGTCCTCTACATGGACTGTTTGTTCAGGCAATTCATGATCTGGACAGATGTTATTAAGTTCTGGTCCTTTGAATCCTGTACAACATCTTTGTTGGCGCTCTGGATATTGCTGTCAAAGATCGATGTATCCTCTCAGGGTTCACGTAGTAAGGTCTTCAGATAAAGGTCTGACCAATGAGCTATTTAACCTTGACAACGTCGTAATGTAGGACCTGCAGAAGCTGAGCTGATATGATCTGAGACGAATTCTTGATACTTAAACCATTGCTGACAACATTGTTGGACTGTGGGCTCTTAAGCTCATTGAGCATTGCCTCATTGATGGAGTGAGTGAGTGAGTTGGGTTAACGCCGCTTTTTACAGTATTCCAGTTATATCACGGCGTGTCAGCTTAATGTGGGAGGAAAGCCCGAAGTGATGCAGGTCTCAGACGTTTATCACTTCGGTGAAACCCACGAGCACGGATATGGTGCTGACAAACCTAGAAACATAACTGGGGCGCACCGGGATTCGAACCCAAAATCATAGGTTTCTGGCGCGCCCAAGGGACGCAACTCTGCACAGCGAATCGCAGCGCCTTAGACGACTGGGCCACCCGTGCCCCCCCTCATTGATGGACCATGATATGGCAAGGCCAAAGAAAGAGTGTCTGGTGATGGTATCAAGTTGAGCCAACTTCTGAGACGACAACCATAAAGAAAAAGTAGTGTGAGGAATCGCCAACACCTTGTTTAGTGGGAAGACGTGGTTCAGGTGCTAAGGAATGCATTCAGGTGAGCTGGGGTGTTTTTTTCTCCGGGAACACTGTTCAGAAAATTTCAAATACCTTTCGGAAATGAGATGAGATAAGCAATTAGTATGAGTCAGGATAAAGTCAATTTAATCTTTTCATTCTAGCGGAAGGTGTTGACACAAAGAGAAATCAAAAGCACTTGGACAATAGTCCTGTTACCATGGTTACTCTGTTACTGTATCATGCTGCCGAAAGATGACAAAGTAGAGATAATTTATGGATAAGAACTTTATTTATTGTAACAGGGTTCACACCAGGAATTTTCTGACATGGACGCTTTATCTGAAAATTCAAAATATACCAGAAGTACACCCACACTAGCCCATACAGCACAATGGTAAAATGCCCCACTGTCTTTGAAAATGTGGGCCTTTTTTCAAAATTAGGGACTAAAAGCACAAGGCCCCAACCTAAAATTATCCCTGCTGTAAAGGCCATGATTATCTCTACTTTGTCATCCAACATCTAAGTAATGCCTCTCAAACAATTCATTGTAAACTTTGACTGGAAAACTCACATATCTGTGGAACTCCTTGAAGGAGTGGAACATGTAGAACCGGTGGAAGTACACCACTCCCGTGGAACATGTGTCGTAGCGTCTGGGGATCATTAAGGCAGAACATTCTTGATGAGATATATTCGTAAAAAATGAAATAATGTTTTCGATGTATATAACGGTTCTAAATATAGGCTTGACTCGGAAAGCATTATTGTGTTTCTGATATTAGCTCCGTTGTACACATGCTGAAAAAGCTTCATTGCATATTTACGAGTGCTGTTTTCAAACAATCAAGTTTTTCATTTAATGCATGCATTTCTGTATGCAAGTTAACTGAAAGTAATTGGGTTTGAATAGTTTTGGGGGGTATTTTACACAAATACACAGCTTATCTGTAGCTTTAGTAAACAAAGACTTTTTCTGAAAATGTTAGCACTGTAGTGATTTCAATGCAATCTCAGTCCAAACAACATGAACAACGTCAATGGCAAGGCAAGTATCAGCAGTCTGCCCACTCACCAGAAGTGATGTACTTAACATGGTCAATGGTATTTTCTGGGCCGTTCTTATTAACTTTACAATTATTTGGTTGAGTGCTGTGGAAATAGAGTAGTTTAGGTACAATGGCATCAAAGGTGAGGTGTGGTGAAATGTGGTTTAACGTCGCGTCCAAGATTATTGCACTTATATAGCAATGTGCATGTACGTGTGTGTGTGGCTGCTTGTACTAGTCCGGACTGATGCCGATTTATAGTGCTAGCTCACTGAGATACCATGCCGCAGTTTAACAAGAATACCCCACTCAGCCACAGTACACTGACTCCGAGCCGACCAGTCCTTGTTTTAGCCCCTTAATGCTGAGCGCCAGACAGGGTAACAACAAGTACCATCTTTTAACGTCTTTTGGTATGACGCAGCCGGGGATCGAACCCCGGACCTTCCGCTCTCCGGGCGGACGCTCTACCACTAGACCACGGAGGCGGTCTTACTAAACTACAGCCGATGTAGAGCACTAGTCAAGGATACAGTCCTAGCTTGGTTCCTGCATCCAGTATAAGACGAGCTCCCTCCCGCCGGTACCGCGCCTCGATGTTGGCATCCATGCCATGTTGCGCGGATGCTGAGTTGCGGATATCTTTCTTCTCAAAATACCAACAAGGCATCTCTGAAAGAAAGGAAAATACTTCAGCTACTACTCACTAGGGCTGTTATGATTCACTCGCATATTCAGTGAATCGAACCGTATCCATTCATGAATTGAATTTGTTATTCGTGGTCACTAGAATCGAATATTTACGAATATGCAATCATGTGCATCTACATACCCTGTACCTAAAAATATCCATAAGAACATATTATATGCAGAGATTCCTTTAAAGACAACACTCATATATATCAGATATATAATTTGACAGTATTGTGGTCACTGGTCATTGTCATATTTGAGCAGATACTAGTACCTGGATAAATGCAGTATATAAATGTATACATGGTATAATATATTAATGATTATCCAACCATGTCAAATAATTTATGTTGTTATTTTTCACTGAATGTAATAAATTAAAGACCAACTGCTGACTTGTTATTGTATTCGTGAATAAATATTCATATTCGTTACCCTATATTCATGATATGAATCGTATTCGCCTCATAGTGTATTTGTTGCAGCCCTACTACTCACTAGGTTATCAATATTTGGTGGAGTGTTGTGAAAAGTGAGTTCCTAAATCAGGACCCTGGTTAGAATCATCTTCTCGAGGCAAGAGAGTTAACTGACTTTAAAAGTCCAGTTTCCACCCCTCGTATCACTTGCGTTTGCTTCACACAAAATGGTGGCGCCCAGTCAGGACAATCTGATCGATAATCAAGATCTATATTGTGATAAAAGGGGTCTTACATAGCGAAATGCATCAAATCACATGAGCACCTTGATTAAAAACATGAAAAGATTTGGAAAATATCTGCTGACGAGTTTGCGGTGCACATGCTTTGCAAATCCTGCAATCGACCGAAATCTGCATGACAGTTTACGAACCAGATTTCGATTTTGGTACGCGATTTTGATTGGACTATGCATAGACTCGTTAGTCCAGCCAAAATGTAACTCCATAATACCAGCCTAGTTTGGCAAGGGTGGAAACTGGACTTTATAGTCAGTTAACTCTCTTGCCTCGGGAAGATGGGTAAGAATAGGTCCGCAGCATTCTATTACTTGTAGCAGCCACTACACCGACTTGGTAGTCCCGCTTTGTGACATGACTGACAACAACAACACTGAAAATGGGAACACAGAGTTACCATAAACGTTTTTTAAATCCCTCTTTACCAAACACAGCAATGCCAAAAAATACACCTGCATCTGACATAATGTCATCTATATACTTGTCAAATGTGCTGCTCGTATGTAGTTTTAGGATTTAACATGATAATGGAATTTGAGTCATTTTTGTCTTAATGTAGTGGTACAAATTTGTGTATTGGTATTTGTGCTTTGTACATTGATTATTAATATCTGTTATAATTTCTTAATCATTGCTGTCTTCTACTGTCTGCCAATTTTACAATGCTAGATACAAAATTGTTAAAAATATAAAGGGCAAATGAAAATGCATTGCCGTTTCGGTTCAACCTGATTCTTTAAGGCACCTGCTCGCTTGGTTGATGTTGTTGTTGTTGGTTTGTTGTTTAACGCCGCACTCAGCAATATTCCAGCTATATGACGGCGGTCTGTAAATGATTGAGTCTGGATCAGACAATCCAGTGATTGATATCATGAGCATCGATCCACGCAATTGGGATCGATGACATGCATCAACCTAGTCAGCGAGCCTGACCATCCGATCCCGTTAGTCGCCTTTTACGACAAGCATAGTCACCTTTTACGGCAAGCATGGGTTGCTGAAGACCTATTCTACCATGGAATCTTCACGGGTCCTTGGACAAGATTAGTTACATTAGTTACATGTACATGCTGCCAAGAATTAGCTGGAATATAGATGACTGCAGTGTAAAACAACAAACAAACAATGGTTTTGAAAAAAATAAATTCCTGGTTTGTTTACCATGTCTACTTTTCAAATTTCCATCTTTGTTGCCAATGCCAGTTTCAATGTGATATATGATTGCTATAGCCAAAATAAGGTATAGCTTATACAGCCTGAAGCTGATTTTAGATATTTTTACCATTCTTCAATGTTGCCATACTGTGTTTGTGTCTACAATACTCAATGATCTACTGACAAGCTACCAGTACCAAGGTTTTTGAAAATCAGCGTTAGAAATTGGCACTTGTCCTATAGTCCTTGCCAAACTGCTTAATTGTTAAGGTATCATAAGGACTAGTAAAAATTTGCCCTTTTTAAGGGTTTTGAGCACTATATGTTATCATTATAAGGACTAGTGGACGAAAACTGTTAGTTTCTACCGCTGAAAATGCAGTTGCCTACTGGCCAGGGTTATTGCGAAAACCGGTCATCTGCAGTATTTGGGGCCCTGCTTTGGCGGTTTCCATAAGCAAAACGTCACCGAGCGAAACAAGCCTTATCGTCCTATTTTTCAAATAATGATGCTGTCGCATGCAGCTTTATTTGTAGCATCAAACAAATATGGCAGATATGTGGCAGGTATAATTCATGTGTACCAACTGAACAAATGGTTGACCTCTGTTGTTCATGAACCAGTGTTGTAAAATGCTGTGTGACGACAATGTATGTGACAGTGATAGATGACAAAGATGACAACGATATTTGTGGATGTAGACGCGTTAGATGACATTAGAAATAATGAACAAATGAATGGCCCCAAATACGTATTCCCAATAAATAATGAATAAATATACTACTACATAAATCGTTCTTATAGCCTTGTTATTATGAATATGAGGTGCCCTTTTAGCCCCATGAAATCGCTGACGTCTTGCTGAGGTGCCGTTTCATCCTGCGTCCACAGTACTTACTGGTGACCTAAAATTGCCTATAAATAAATAGCTGTTCTTTCCTGCGTAACCAGAACTTGTCATGATTAATATATGCTGGTTTTCGTGCAAACATGTACAAACAAAACTCACGTGAGGGGAGACATACTTACGGAAGAGAATACAATCTTGACAATGTTAAAACGCACACCGATCACAAAACGAGAAAACGAGTTAGTTCCCTTGGCTACCAAAAATCGTTTTGTGATGTCGTAAATGTGCGCTTACAAATGTAGATGCCAATCAAGCGCTTATCAATAAAAACAATTTAGAGTGACATGTTTATATTATGCTTCAACATAAAAAATATATCCGAGATAATCAGATAACATAAATAGATAAAACAATAAAAACATACCGGGCAAAACCAGAACTTACCAAAAGTAGCAAATGATAATGAAAACGAATTCATCTCATACAAAATGAAACTTTTAACTGCGTATTTGCCCCATCCCTGTCAACTTCTCTACTTGACTTCTCGAAAACAGACGCAGTTATCAGTCTGTCACAGCACCTCCCTATACGGTCATCTCTCTGAGAAGCATTTTCCTTATGCAGTGATATTGCTTGAGGCAAATGCCATTAGGACGTTTGCATGATTGTATCCCTTGATAGGGCATTTTCTTTAATGTAGCATTACCAAATATATCTTCGTGACATTTCGGATGACAATCCGTCAGTGGCCCAGAAAATGGACCTATCTGAAACCCTTTTATGACATATCAAGTTAGTTGTTTGGTTAGAATAATCCCCCATGAATATATTTATTTTCGTTACTAATTCACATGATTATTTGTCATAGAGACTTTGCCAAAGAGGTCTACCAATTTAGATCCCTATGAAAACACACGCCCCCAAAATAACTGAGTGATAACTGGGCGTTTGCCTCAGTACTAGTGGATGACATGGTTGACAATATATGTGAGTATTACAAAACAATAATAGTTGATAAATGTAGGTCCTGTTTCGTCAACAAATACTTTATACGTTTGAAATTTGAAATTGGTACATATTAGTTGTTTACATCTCACAGATAATATCATGAAACAAAATATGTCATGCGTCTCGAGGTATAAACATTAGTTCCATATTTGCAAATATCATTCAAATGTTCGATTTTGTGTCAATTGTTTGATATTGAATCCTAGTTTTTGGAACATATGTGTTCCGTGTATTTACAGAAGTACTATTTGCATTACGATTTCTAAACATACTGTTTGTATCGGGGCAGATTTTAATTATTTATTTACAATGTGGACGCAGTCAGTTTAACCATAAATTAATTTATACCAAATAATATATTTTTAAATGATAAAAATATATTTTTGATAACTCAAAATAACAAAATAATATTAATGTATTATAATATGTAATATGTTGTATAGCAAGTAGTATTATAGCAATCGGCAGCCATATTGCCATGTAGCAGACAACTTTCCGGAAGCGAAGTTAACTGTGAACATTTCATGACAAGCAGCATGACTGTCGACGCAGGAAAGGGGTTCACCCTTCCATCCGGCCCTTCGTCCTTATGTTTCGACAAAGAGGAGTTTATGAAGGTAGTTGTCTTCGATATGTCGGTATCTGCATGCAATTAGTGCTATCAAACTCAAACTCTGTCAATTGGAAAGAGTTACTTATCCGATCGTCGTCACACAGATATCTACCAGTATCATCATAACAATGAACATAGCAGTATCTAGCATCATTGAAATGGTGACATTTTCCTTGCGTTATGCAGTGAACATCGAACCAAACTGAATGCAGCAGTCCCGTTTTTTATCAAAATCTAAATAAAAATATGATACATAGGCCTACACCACTAGCTGAAATGAGAAGTGGAACGGGTATAGTTTAACTATTGGTTAAGATACTATAAGTTGATATTAGCAGTATTATTTGTTTGTTTGTTATTTAACGCCTCACTCAGCAATATTCCAGCTATATGACGGCGGTCTGTAAAATAATCGAGTCTGGACCAGACAATCCAGTGATTGACATCATGAGCATCGATGATCGATGACATGTATCAACCAAGTGAGCGAGCCTGACCACCCGATACTGTTAGTCGCCTTTTACAACAAGCATAGTCGCCTTTTACGGCAAGTTTGGGTTGCTGAAGACCTATTCTACCCCGGATTCTTCACGGGACTAGCAGTATTAACCATGTTATGCATTCGTTACTGTTCAGTGTTGTTTCCTTGTCTTTCAAGACCGAGTTCCATGTGGACCAGTTTGTCATCGAATGTCGGCGACACGTTCAGCTGGAGACACTGCGAGATGATCTCAACATATACCTAAAAATTCTTAAGAGTGCCATGATCGAACTCATCAACAAGGACTATGCTGACTTCGTCAACCTCTCAACTAACCTGGTTGGTACACTGATAGTGCTGATTATTGTGCTGGTAGCTATCCCAGCAGGGAATGCAATAGCGATCATATTGTTGTATTCCATATGTAATGACAACAGTCCAGCCTGATAGTCATTGTGCCCAAGACCTGTCTCATAGAAACATAATGATGCCATATTTATTTATATCTCATCATTGCCAGTCCTGTAACCATGGAAGTACTGATGTCACATTGTTAGTCTTATTATTATGATTTAAACACAGTACATACAAACTCATATTCTTTTTTCAGTATTTTCCCCAAAATTAAAAATGGTTTGCTTGCTATGGTAAAAGATATGCAATAGAAGCAACTTTTCCTAGTCAGAGTACATTGCTGTAGTTATTTCAGCAAATACCTGGATACAGTTGCATTTTTTATGACCTTAGGTGGGGATGGACAAAGCCATCAACAATCTGACCGTCCCTCTTGGTCAACTGAAGGAAGAGGTCTTGGTAAGTGTACTTTTTATGTTACCAATTTCAGCCTATTGCTTGATTGTCAATTTTCAGTGTAGTTCTTGATGTTAATGTTATTGAGCAGATGAGTAAATATTGCTTAATAACAAAAATCAGTGTTCATTCGAGATGACAAGAATAAAGGGCCCTTTAGGCCCAATAGGGACCCAAAATAGAGTCATCATGTTGAGGCATAAAATGAGATTCATTCAAATTAGAAACCATGCACCCTACTGCCATATGTGGTAGTTAATTCTTGCGTCAGTATAAAAAGAATACCACACTCTAGAATGAACATGGGGACATGGGTGGCCCAGTCGTCCAAGGCGCCACAATTCGCTGTGCAGAGTTGCGCCCCTGGGGAACGCCAGAAACCTATGATCGTGGGTTCGAATCCAGGTTCACCCCCATTATGTTTCTAGTTTTGTCAGCACCATACCCGTGCTCGTGGGTTTCACCGAAGTGGTGAACGTCCGAGACCTGCATCACTTCGGGCTTTCCTCCCACATTAAGCTGACACGCCGTGATATAACTGGAATACTGTTAAAAGCGGCTTAAAACCCAACTCACTCACTCACTCAATAGAATGAACACTGCAAGAGTATTATTTGATTCTTTGTTGAGCATTGTGGAAGTTTGGTAAGTTATATCTATTAGGGTAATACAAGCAATTGTATGGAGGACAACTTTTTTATTTACACTGTTGCATAAAGAATTTTGTCATCCATACAATTTAATTCTTCTTGACATGGCCATGAAGACCAGCTGTATTTCCAAAGACACGTCCTCATCTTGGCATTGTTGGAACATGAAGACAAAAACTTTGTACAAATAGTGTGATGTATGCAAGCTTGTTCAATGTGACAATACACTGGTATTAAAGAATTCAGTGTCTCTGAATTAAGGCTTTGTGTATGTGTGCTGATAGTGAATTCATTCCTTCAGAGTGTCAGATCGGCAATGGATGAAGCAATAGCAGCTGTTGAAAACAAACTTCGGAAGCAACAGGAAGTGCAGAAAAAGAAGGTAAAGGATTCACAACTGGAACTGGATTGATAGCAAAGAAAATAAATATTGACCCAGAGAAAACAGAAGCATATTTTAAGACTAATTTTTTTTATTGAGCATTTTATGATTTTATGTTCTTGAAAGATATGTGTAATGAGATGTAACCGTGGTACTTCCAGGCTTGCTTGCAGCGTTTGATGAACATAACACAGTCGGTGGAGAAGATTGAACGTCTTCTTGGCATCCAAGGATCAGAGTCGGGAGAAGACTCCCAGCATCCTGGGTAGGACTTATTCATATTTTTAAACTTTGTTCTTCATCCCCAATTTCATTGTCATCTTTCTCATATTTGTACCTTTTAGTGTTTGAAATTAAGAGAGCCTTGGGGTCATTAAGGTCAGCATCTTTTGCTTCTGTATCTAGGTACATATAAGTCTTTGGTATGTTACCAGTTATGACCGGGACCCCATAACAGTAATGTTACCTTATCATGTCTGGAGAGAGTTAACTTATGCAATTTCAACATCTTTATCCTTTCAATGCAATGTATATGCTACACCGCTAGCATCTGTACCAAACCTTCATGAAAGTACTTTATTTGTACTGAAATGTTGGGATTTTATACACAAAAATATTTTTGTAATCATTCAATGATGGATTTAAAAAAGTTCAATTTTAGGTGTCTCAGAAACCTTTGGCTTATCCTCTAAGAGAAGTGTTAAAGCACTGAATGAAATAGTAATCTGCCTCAAACAAAAACTCCCCTTCCCCCCTCGAATGTAAAGAAGTTGGTCCCTTAAAAATCATGGAAATCTGCATTGTATGAAGCCACTGAGCCTGTGAAGATCCGGGGTAGAATAGGTCTTCAGGAACCCATGCATGCTGTAAAAGACAACTGTGCTTGTCGTAAGAGGAGTCTAACCGGATCAGGTAGTCAGGCTCGCTGACTTGGTTAATGCGTGTCATCATATTCCAATTGCATGGATCGATGCTCATGATCTCAGTCACGATGCTCATGATGGCAGTCACTGGATTGTCTGGTCCAGACATGATTATTTACAGACCGCCATCATATAGCTGGAACATTGCTGAGTGTTGCGTTATACAACAAATAAACAAACAAAACACTGAGCCATACTACAGTGTTTTAAAATAGTATTGTAGTTTAGTTGCACTCCTGGTAATTTCCCCTATTGAACGTACTGATTCATGCTAGTTTTGTATTTCAGCCAGCTGAGTGGTCAGCTGATTGAGAGAGTGGCCACGGAGTTCAATAAGCTGCAGTTCTACGTCACAAAGAGCAGGGGGCTGCCGCTGGTGGAGAGGATCCGACCTGTAAGTCTGCTTGATGAAAACAACATACTTCCATCATGTTCATTACATGTGAGGGGCAGTGGGATAGCCTTGTGCTTAAGGTGTTTGCTCGTCACACCGAAAACCTAGGTTCGATTCCCCACATGGGTACAATGTGAAGTCCATTTCTGGTGTCCCCTGCCATGATATTGCTGGAATATTGCTAAAAGCGGCATAAAACAACACTCACTCACTCACTCACTCACTCACTCACTCACTCACTCACTCACTCACTCACTCAACCATAACATGAGCACTTGGTGTTTGAACTATACCTTACAAAAAGATTAACTGAGCTAGGCCTCCACAAGTGTTTCTGTCATTATCAACGTTTAACTTCAGTTATCATTTAGATACATTTAAGGTAGGACCTCTTGTGCTCTTGTTTGAACGAGATTGACTCTCAGCTACTCTGAAGAGAAAATATCAGAAATGTATCAAAAGTGGAAGGGGGTTTTAGGAATGGGTGCTGTCCGTCCATTTGTCACGTTTTGTTTCCGGAGCAGAACTTAAAAACCATAAGAGATATCTTAACCAAACTTTGCACATAGGTAGGTCTCCTTTCCGGAGCAAATCTTGAAAATCATACAGTATTTCTTCACCAAACTTGGCACAATGATAGGTCTAGTTGTAAACTGGTGCCTTTTCACAGTTTGTGATTTAAAAAAAAAAAAGAATTTCAAGTTTCTATGGCAACAACTTTTTCTTAGACTGAAAATAACGGTAGTGCTCCTTTCTGAAGAAAAGTTTGAAAACCATACAATATTTCTTCACCAAACTTGGCACAATGATAGGTCGAGTTGTACACTGTTGCCTTTTGTTAGTTTGGGATTTTTGAGTTTCCATAACAACGACTTTGTCTTAGACTGAAAATGGCAGTAGTACTCATTACCTAAGGGCTTATGCCTTGCACACAGCTGGACATGTCATATTGGCGGGGGATATGAGTACGTTCTGTTTCTGATGGAGAAAGAGTGATTTACGTGCCACTGTTTGTGTTTCAGAGGATAGCAAACATCACCACCACATTGCAGTACAGCCTTGAAGGGTCCTTCCTGGATGGGCTGGAGTCAGGGAACACAGACATCCTCCGTCAGTGTTTGAGGACATACGCTCTCATCGACAAGACTAGGGATGCTGAGAATCTGTTTAAACTGCATATTGTGAAGCCTTACATGGAGGAGGTATCTATGTTGTTTTATGGTTGATATGATGATGTCAGTCTCTGATTGAAACCCAGTGGGGATTCCAAGATTGAGAGGCCCCCAGCACCCCTTGCTTGTTGAAACACGCCTATGGGGACTCCTGGGAAAATTATTGGGTTTAAAGGCACACGTGAGGATTCCAGGGTAGTGTATGTCCTCCAGTACCGTGTTTCTCAAGACATGTGGAGATTCTAGGGTAGTGTAGGTCCCCAGTACCGTGTTTGTCAAGGCATGTGGAGATTCTAGGGTAGTGTAGGTCCCCAGTACCGTGTTTGTCAAGACGTGTGGAGATTCCAGGGTAGTGTAGGTCCCCAGTACCCTGTGTTTGTTTCAAGACATTCGGAGATTCCAGGGTAGTGTAGGTCCCCAGTACCCTATGTTTGTTTCAAGATGTGTGGAGATTCCAGGGTAGTATAGGTCCCCAGTACCCTGTGTTTGTTTAAAGATGTGTGGAGATTCCAGGGTAGTGTAGGTCCCCAGTACCCTGTGTTTGTTTCAAGACATTCGGAGATTCCAGGGTAGTGTAGGTTCTCAGGACCCTGTGTTTGTTTCAAGATGTGTGGAGATTCTAGGGTAGTATAGGTCCCCAGTACCCTGTGTTTGTTTCAAGACGTGTGGAGATTCCAGGGTAGTGTAGGCCCCCAGTACCCTGTGTTTGTTTTTAGACGTGTGGAGATTCCAGGGTAGTGTAGGCCCCCAGTACCCTGTGTTTGTTTTTAGACGTGTGGAGATTCCAGGGTAGTGTAGGTCCCCAGTACCCTCTGTTTGTTTCTAGACGTGTGGAGATTCCAGGGTAGTATAGGTCCCCAGTACCCTGTGTTTGTTTTTAGACGTGTGGAGATTCCAGGGTAGTATAGGTCCCCAGTACCCTGTGTTTGTTTCAAGATGTGTGGAGATTCCAGGGTAGTGTAGGTCCCCAGTACCCTGTGTTTGTTTCAAGACGTGCTGAGATTCCAGGGTTGTGTAGGTTCCCAGTACCCTGTGTTTGTTTTTAGACGTGTGGAGATTCTAGGGTAGTGTAGGTCCCCAGTACCCTGTGTTTGTTTCAAGACGTGCTGAGATTCCAGGGTAGTGTAGGTTCCCAGTACCCTGTGTTTGTTTCAAGACGTGTGGAGATTCCAGGGTAGTGTAGGTCCCCAGTACCCTGTGTTTGTTTCAAGACGTGCTGAGATTCCAGGGTAGTGTAGGTCCCCAGTACCCTGTGTTTGTTTCAAGACGTGCTGAGATTCCAGGGTAGTGTAGGTTCCCAGTACCCTGTGTTTGTTTCAAGACGTGTGGAGATTCCAGGGTAGTGTAGGTCCCCAGTACCCTGTGTTTGTTTCAAGACGTGCTGAGATTCCAGGGTAGTGTAGGTTCCCAGTACCCTGTGTTTGTTTCAAGACGTGTGGAGATTCCAGGGTAGTGTAGGTCCCCAGTACCCTGTGTTTGTTTCAAGACGTGCTGAGATTCCAGGGTAGTGTAGGTCCCCAGTACCCTGTGTTTGTTTCAAGACGTGCTGAGATTCCAGGGTAGTGTAGGTCCCCAGTACCCTGTGTTTGTTTTTAGACGTGTGGAGATTCTAGGGTAGTGTAGGTCCCCAGTACCCTGTGTTTGTTTCAAGATGTGTGGAGATTCCAGGGTAGTATAGGTCCCCAGTACCCTGTGTTTGTTTCAAGACATTCGGAGATTCCAGGGTAGTGTAGGTCCCCAGTACCCTATGTTTGTTTCAAGATGTGTGGAGATTCCAGGGTAGTATAGGTCCCCAGTACCCTGTGTTTGTTTCAAGATGTGTGGAGATTCCAGGGTAGTATAGGTCCCCAGTACCCTGTGTTTGTTTCAAGATGTGTGGAGATTCCAGGGTAGTGTAGGTCCCCAGTACCCTGTGTTTGTTTCAAGATGTGTGGAGATTCCAGGGTAGTATAGGTCCCCAGTACCCTGTGTTTGTTTCAAGATGTGTGGAGATTCCAGGGTAGTATAGGTCCCCAGTACCCTGTGTTTGTTTCAAGATGTGTGGAGATTCCAGGGTAGTGTAGGTCCCCAGTACCCTGTGTTTGTTTCAAGATGTGTGGAGATTCCAGGGTAGTGTAGGTCCCCAGTACCCTGTGTTTATGTCAAGATGTGGAGATTCCAGGGTAGTGTAGGTCCCCAGTACCCTGTGTTTATGTCAAGACGTGGAGATTCTAGGGTAGTGTAGGTCCCCAGTACCCTGTGTTTGTTTAAAGACGTGTCAGGATTCCAGGGTAGTGTAGGTCCCCAGTCCCCTGTGTTTGTTTCAAGACCCGTTTGGGGATTACACTTTACATGGCACTTATGCTTACTTTCAGTTCATCAATGAGCAGTACATCCGCTCCAGTAGCCAGGGGCTTCAAGGGCTGTATGGCAAGGTGCTTGAGTTCATCCCCAAGAAGTGTAAGATACTCAAGGACGTTACCAGTGGAGGGTCGGGGTAAGCAATCTCTTGTGTCTGTTTCACTAAGGACGTCCCTGTACTCATCATCAGACATAGTTACATTCAGCCAGCAGTGGTAACAATACATCATCAAAGCTTCACCAACCCAAATACTAATCACAAATGTAGCGACAAAACCCAGTATCTTTAAAATGACAAGTTATTACAGACTAACTGCTCATTAGTAAGTACCATATTCAACGTAATAAGTGCTCGGGGCGCTCTCAAAATTAGAAATAGGGGGCTCTTATTAGAATATTATTTTGGTGAAAAAACAATACATGAAAGATAAATTTCATGGTTTATGCTGAAAGCCTGAAATGTTAATGTATGACAGATATACTTATCCAGAATTTAATTGCCCATGATTAAGGGTGAATAACACACGAGTGCGTATTATACGTGAAAAAATAAGTCTTGTGTACATCGATCAATTGGAAGGGTTGCTAATTGGGATTGTTCACTAGCCAATATATTAGTAGATACCGCCGTGGGCGCTTATTAGAGCAGGGCGCTTATTATGTCGAATACGGTATTAATTTTGAGACTGATCCTATCTCACATTTCTTCCTTCTGCTTTCGATCCTTATGTGTTCGGGCGAAATGTTTTTAGAAGCTGGAAACTTTGTTCAAGCACTTTTCCACATAAGGATGGAGCAAAAAGAATGAAGTTATACCTAGCATAGTGTGAGATAGGATAAGTATATAGATATACAATTAAATGTAATTCTTTCAAATTGTGATTTTTCAAAGGTACAGAAGCTTGGCCACTGACTTTACTTTGTAATTTAGATCATAAACGAAGAGCAATCATTTAATGTCGCCTGAAACATCCTGAAAAAGATCCACCACATGATGAAGAATTTGTAGCTGTGTTTCCATGAGTAGGAATCATGTGTCCTATGGTGATTGTTTACAGAACTACGGAGATCGTGCGGGGCTATGACTTCCTGGTCAACTCGGTGTGGCCAGAGATTGTCAGCAACCTGGAGGCCAGGGTTCCATCTATATTTGCCCCGGGCAACCCCAACGTATTCCACGAGGTACTCATCTATTGCGTATATTACGTCTTTGTATTTCTCTTAAGTTGTTGTCAGAAATCCATGATAGGTTTGTTTCTTTATGAAATTAATTATGTTTTTTTCTTCTATTGTTCAGAAATACTTGATAAGCATGGATTTCCTGGGAAAGTTTGAGCGGATGTGTGGCTCTCAAGCCAGCGTGAAGCGTCTGAGGGAACACGCCAGCTACCACACCTACATGTCCAAGTGGAGCCTCCCAGTCTACTTCCAGATCAGGTAGAGTGCTGAGTACTGGAGGCACGCTGTGGCATCATACTGGTTGTAGTGGAGAGATTCCCCAATACTAGGGTCATCATACTGAAGGTGTAGGACACTGCTCAATGCTAGGGTCATCACACTGAAGGTGTATGACACTGCTCAATACTAGGGTCATCATACTGAAGGTGTACTGCTGGTTGTGGGGTACTTGGGTCGTCACACTGAAGGTGTAGGACACTGCTCAATGCTAGGGTCATCACACTGAAGGTGTAGGATACTGCTCAATGCTAGGGTCATCACACTGAAGGTGTAGGATACTGCTCAAAACTTGGGTCATCACACTGAAGGTGTAGGATACTGCTCAATACTAGGGTCATCATACTGATGGTGTAGGATACTGCTCAATACTAGGGTCATCATACTGATGGTGTAGGACACTGCTCAATACTAGGGTCATCATACTGATGGTGTAGGATACTGCTCAATAATTGGGTCATCACACTGAAGGTGTAGGATACTGCTCAATACTAGGGTCATCATACTGATGGTTTAGGACACTGCTCAATACTTGGGTCATCATACTGAAGGTGTAGGATACTGCTCAATACTAGGGTCATCATACTGAAGGTGTAGGATACTGCTCAATACTTGGGTCATCATACTGAAGGTGTAGGATACTGCTCAATACTAGGGTCATCACACTGAAGGTGTAGGACACTGCTCAATAATAGGGTCATCACACTGAAGGTGTAGGATACTGCTCAATACTAGGGTCATCATACTGATGGTGTAGGACACTGCTCAATACTTGGGTCATCATACTGATGGTGTAGGACACTGCTCAATACTAGGGTCATCATATTGATGGTGTAGGACACTGCTCAATACTAGGGTCATCATACTGATGGTGTAGGACATTTCTCAGTACTAGGGTCATTATACTGAAGGTGTAGGACACTGCTCAATACTAGGGTCATAATGAAGGTGTAGGACACTGCTCAATAGTAGGGTCATCATACTGAAGGTGTACTGCTGGTTGTGGGGTACTTGGGTCAGCACACTGAAGGTGTAGGACACTGCTCAATACTAGGGTCATCATACTGAAGGTGTAGGACACTGCTGAATACTAGGGTCATCATACTGAAGGTGTAGGACTGCTGAATACTAGGGTCATCGTACTGAAGGTGTAGAACACTGCTCAATACTAGGGTCATCATACTGATGGTGTAGGACACTGCTCAATACTAGGGTCATCATACTGATGGTGTAGGATACTGCTCAATACTAGGGTCATCATACTGATGGTGTAGGACACTGCTCAATACTTGGGTCATCACACTGAAGGTGTAGGACACTGCTCAATACTAGGGTCATCTTACTGATGGTGTAGGACACTGCTCAATACTAGGGTCATCATACTGAAGGTGTAGGACACTGCTCAATACTTGGGTCATCACACTGAAGGTGTAATGCTGACTGTTGAATACTATTTCATCATGCTGAAGTGTGTGTGTATATATATATAGATGTATGTCGGATGTGAAGGACAAGAAACCTGATACAGTTTAACAACAGGAGTGAGGACTATATTCATCTTCCTGAGGAAAGGAAGTTAACTGACCATAAACGTCCAGTTTCCACCCTTGCCGAAACTAGGTTGGTATTATGGAGTTACATTTTGGCTGGACTAACTAGTCTGTGCATAGTCCAATCAAAATCGCACAACGAAATCGAAATCCGGATCGTAAACTGTCCTGCAAATTTAGGTCGATTGCAGGATTTTGCAAAGCACTGCCAGCTTGTTGTCAACAGATATTTTTCAAATCTTTTCGTGTTATTAATCAAGGTGCTCATGTGATTTGATGCATTTCGCGATGTAAGACCTGTTTTATCACAATATAGATCTTGATTATCGTTCAGATCGTCCTGACTGGGCGCTGCCATTTTGTTTGAAGCAAATGCAAGTGATACAAGAGTTGGAATCTGATTGGTCCATAGGAGAGGCTTAGAAGGGACATAACTGGTAATAGCCACTGGTGGCGCTACGATCAAGGCCAAAAATTCCAGCCTAGTTCGGCAAGGGTTAACTCTCTTGCCTCGGGGAGATGACTATATTTGGATTAGAATAGCTTAGTATTAGAATTACACAAGTGAAAGGAATGTGAATAGCTGTACATGTTCCAGAATACTAAGGGCTAATAGGCATGAGGTGTCGTTTCCCTGATGACCTAATGTTTAACGTTGCAGGTTCCAAGAAATAGCTGGATCTTTGGAGACTGCTCTCATGACTGGATTTAACAATTCCCCAGGTTTGATGCTTTTCTTATAAACCTGTAGTGAAATCATCCTATGTTCTTATGTTTCTTCACGAAGTGGAAAGCCTGCGATCAGTTGCTGTATCCATGCCCAGGGTGTTCTGAGATCGTTCTAACTTGACTAAAAAGTGTTATATCACACAAGATTTATGAACATCATTTTAGTATCATCTAATTTTAATTTTTATACTGGCTAAAATTCACGATTTTCTTTTCCATGACATGAATCAGACCTGCAACCTCAGCTTACTCTGCTCTTTGCGCCTTATTCCGCGTGAGACCGCCTCTCTGGTCTTCCGGAGAGAGGAAGGTCTGGGGTTCGATCCCCGGCCGCATCATACCAAATGATGTTAAAAGATGGTACTTGTTGTTACCCTGTCTTGCACTCGGCATTAAGGGGCTAAAACAAGGACTGGTCGGCTCTGCGTCAGTATACTGTGTCTGAGTGGGGTATTCATGTTTAACTGCGGCATGGTATCTCAGTGGGCTAGCACTATAATTCGGCATCAGTCCGGACTAGTACAAGCAGCCACACACACATGTGCATGCACGTCGCTATATAAGTGCAATAATCTTGGACACGACGATAAACCCCATTTCACTTCACCTGTTCCGCATGAGAAGTTTCTGCTCTAGTGACCACACCACGGGCTTATCACATGACCTGGCTTTTCTCTTGTTTGTAAACACACACGCTTATTTCGACATAAGAACAGATGGCCCTAATGCGAACCTATCGTGCCCTTTACATATTGTTTTGCATAATTACATAGATATGCTGCTACAACTGCAACACTGAGGCGCATGACAATATAGCTTCACGAAGTGACCAAATCGCTTGTTCTCCGTGGCTTCGATGACAGCACGTGGAGCTGTACAATTAATGTAAACAAAGGATAAATACGCAAATGAAAATAGTTTTTCACATTTAAGGATATTTTCTTAATGGAAGTTCATTTCATGACATGTGTATCTATCACATTTCCTTTTTCCTTTTGATGGATTGATTCCTCAACAGTTAATGCTGAAGATTTCAATCCCTTTCAGAAAATCCTCATGGCTTCCACTTGCTGTCGACGTCTTCCCTGTGGGACTCCCTCCAGATATGCTGGCGGGACGGTGTCTACCTGTCCTCACTGTCTCACAGGTTCCTCAAACTCAACCTGCAGATGCTGTCTCGCTACACCGCCTGGCTGGAGGAGGTGCTTGAAGAGGAGGTACGTTGAGGAGGAGGGTGTGTGTGGGGGGGGTGGAGGAGGGGGGAGTGCAGGAAGTGGGTAGGTGGGGTGGATAGCACAGGAAGAGGAGGTAGGTTGGGTAGGGGTGTGGCAGTACAGGTGGGCGAGGAGATGAGGGGCTGGGGAAGAAATACAAGAAAAAGAAGGTAGGTTCAGGATTGGGATGGGTGGGGGAGTGCTGGAGGAGGGTTAGGTTGAGAAAGCAGGTAGGGAGATTGAGTTGTGTGGGGTGGGGGAGTGCTGGAGGAGGGTTAGGTTGAGGAAGCAGGTAGGGGGATGGAGGTGTGTTGGGTGGGGGAGTGCTGGAGGAGGGTTAGGTTGAGGAAGCAGGTAGGGGGGGTGGAGGTGTGTTGGGTGGGAGAGTGCTTGAGGAGGGTTAGGTTGAGGAAGCAGGTAGGGGTGGAGGTGTGTGGGGTGGGGGAGTGCTGGAGTAGGGTTAGGTTGAGGAAGCAGGTAGGGTTGGAGGTGTGTGGGGTATGGGAGTGCTGGAGTAGGGTTAGGTTGAGGAAGCAGGTAGGGGTGGAGGTGTGTGGGGTGGGGGAGTGCTGGAGTAGGGTTAGGTTGAGGAAGCAGGTAGGGTTGGAGGTGTGTGGGGTATGGGAGTGCTGGAGTAGGGTTAGGTTGAGGAAGCAGGTAGGGGTGGAGGTGTGTGGGGTATGGGAGTGCTGGAGGAGGGTTATGTTGAGGAAGCAGGTAGGGGTGGAGGTGTGTGGGGTATGGGAGTGCTGGAGTAGGGTTAGGTTGAGGAAGCAGGTTGGGGTGGAGGTGTGTGGGGTGGGGGAGTGCTGGAGGAGGGTTAGGTTGAGGGAGCAGGTAGGGGTGGAGGTGTGTGGGGTGGGGGAGTGCTGGAGGAGGGTTAGGTTGAGGAAGCAGGTAGGGGTGGAGGTGTGTGGGGTGGGGGAGTGCTGGAGTAGGGTTAGGTTGAGGAAGCAGGTAGGGGTGTGGGGTGGGGGAGTGCTGGAGGAGGGTTAGGTTGAGGAAGCAGGTAGGGGTGGAGGTGTGTGGGGTATGGGAGTGCTGGAGGAGGGTTAGGTTGAGGAAGCAGGTAGGGATGGAGGTGTGTGGGGTATGGGAGTGCTGGAGGAGGGTTAGGTTGAGGAAGCAGGTTGGGGTGGAGGTGTGTGGGGTATGGGAGTGCTGGAGGAGGGTTAGGTTGAGGAAGCAGGTTGGGGTGGAGGTGTGTGGGGTATGGGAGTGCTGGAGTAGGGTTAGGTTGAGGAAGCAGGTAGGGGTGGAGGTGTGTGGGGTATGGGAGTGCTGGAGGAGGGTTAGGTTGAGGAAGCAGGTAGGGGTGGAGGTGTGTTGGGTGGGGGAGTGCTGGAGGAGGGTTAGGTTGAGGAAGCAGGTAGGGGTGGAGGTGTGTGGGGTATGGGAGTGCTGGAGTAGGGTTAGGTTGAGGAAGCAGGTAGGGGTGGAGGTGTGTGGGGTATGGGAGTGCCGGAGGAGGGTTAGATTGAGGAAGCAGGTAGGGTTGGAGGTGTGTGGGGTGGGGGAGTGCTGGAGTAGGGTTAGGTTGAGGAAGCAGGTAGGGGTGGAGGTGTGTGGGGTGGGGGAGTGCTGGAGTAGGGTTAGGTTGAGGAAGCAGGTAGGGGTGGAGGTGTGTGGGGTATGGGAGTGCCGGAGGAGGGTTAGATTGAGGAAGCAGGTAGGGGTGGAGGTGTGTGGGGTATGGGAGTGCTGGAGGAGGGTTAGATTGAGGAAGCAGGTAGGGGTAGGGGAGTGCTGGAGGAGAAGGTAGATGAGATGGAAGAGAGCAGATGAGGATGTGGAGAAGGTAGATGGGGGTGAAAGGTTATAGAAAATAAGTGGACGTGAATGAGGGAGGTTACCAGAAGTGTAACATTTAAAAACCAGTTTTGTTTTTGACTGAATTAATTGAATTTCTAATTTCCACATTTATCAAAAATTGTAATATCAGAAATAATCTTAAGAATGCAAGAAGACACATATCGAGGAGTACAATATGATACATTTCCTTCTGTGATAGAATGCAAGAAGACACATATCGAGGAGTACAATATGATACATTTCCTTCTGTGATAGAATGCAAGAAGACACATATCAAGGATTACAATATGATACATTTCCTTCTGTGACAGAATGCAAGAAGACACATATCGAGGAGTACAATATGATACATTTCCTTCTGTGACAGAATGCAAGAAGAAAAGAGTCACAGCAGGAGAAGCCAACAAAACTGAGGACTGTGTCCTCCACGGGGAACCTGGAGAGGCTGAACGGAGCGGGGGACATGCACAGGTCCTCCTCCCCACAACCCCCGGAGAGATCCCCATCCCCTGCAACCCCTCCCATCACCATCGGACAGATCGTCTGTCTGCTGGCGGATGCTGAGCGGCTAGCTGACACGGTCAGTGACATTCAATTCAAACATAAAGCATTTGGTATGATTGAACATATGTAGCAAGTTTTAGTGGTTGCAAGAAGTCAAAACATTGATCAAAAATTAATCTTTAGCCACCTGTGTGAAAGAACATCTTGTTATTATTTGGTTTATAAGGTTTATTTGCAATTTCTCACCATTATAAGATCTTTAATGCCATATCAAAGATTATACAGTAATCTGCAACGGAAAACTATGTTACCTGTAAATACATTGGAAGCAAAATACTGCTGTTTTTATGATCAGTAAAATGTTTAATGAGTATTACCGGGACAGAGTTGACCTGTGGAACTTCTGTTGTCCTGCAATGGGATGTTGCGGTTCAGATGTTAGTTCGTTTATCAAGCAGGGGTCAGCAGCTGGGTTGAACGGGGTTATGGCTAATATTAAATCTACACTCTTTGTCCCTTTCATCAATCTCATTAAAATCTGATCTTAGTTCTCGCTATCGCTAAACAAAGATCTGAGGACATCCCATTAAGGGTCACGTCAGAACGACCTTTCATCCAACAAATCAGAGCGTCGCTTACCAGATCATGAAAGTGACAGTCGGAATTTTCTAATGTTTTCTAATCATGCAACCACGAAATATTTAACACAGGGTGTTCCAAACGACAGTTGCAGGTTTTATGGTAATATCCATACAATCTAGGCCACCTCTAAGCTATTCCAGAATGTTCTTCTTATCAGTTTTAATTTTTTTAATCGAGAATACGTCAAAATATGTTTCGAAGCGTAGTCGCCAGTTTGAAACTAGTATCGTAAAGCTCGAGAAAGCTGTCTTCTGATTGGCCAATGTCGATTTCTTGTCAATCATTTCATTGGTCGGTCAAAATGTGGTGACCCGTAATGGGATGTCCTCAGATCTTTGTTTAGCGGTAGCGAAAACTAAGATCTAATTTTAATGAGATTGTCCCTTTCATCATCCTTGTTTGTTTGTTGTTTGTTAACATCCATAAACTATAGCTGTGTCCTGGATGTTGCAGCTCCCAGACCTCTTCCTCAACACTGTGAAGCCTAAATTAGAAGCAGATGGATTTCCGAACCCTGACAGCTTGAAAGGTTTGGATTATGTGACAAAATGTATTCATCTACAGTCAAACCCCTTTGTCTCACGATTCGATGTGCTGAGTCCCCAGTTGTGTGTCTTGTCCCAGCAACTCTTCCTTCATTTATCACCATTTTAGCCCTTATGTATCAAGCTGAATTCCCTGTTGCCACAAACTCAATGAGAACTCTAGATAAGCTGCGTATCTGCGTAAAATACGCATCAGAAATGCAGAAATACGCAGTAAAATAGAATCCAAGCGTATCAAATACGCAACGATCATTACAGATACGCTACAAAACTAAAACTTGTGCATATCATCAAAATATTGTGAAGTAGCAAATCAGCAACTTATTTTGAAACTATAAACGGACATTCCATCAACCTTGCCAAACTCCACAATAACAGTTATATCATGATCATTTGCCATCACACTTTCTTGTGGAAGTGTCGTGGTACTTTTGAGTCCTATAAAGCTCTCGAACCCGCATGACACCAGTTTGCAGGGACTAGATGAATAGTGTTTTTAAATATTTAACTTAAATACCCACATGTGTAAAAACTAGTAGGTAACAGAAATTTGAATACCGAGATAGAATTACTGATACCCAATGATTTTAAAATGCATGCGTAAAATACCCACAACACCAAAAGCTTATCTGGACCTCTGCTCAATTTATAGTCCAAGAGTTGAAAATAAGTTAAGATTTACTGTGACAAGTAGGAGATCGAAACAATTGTTTTTGAAAAAAACAACTTTGTCAAACACGCTGTCAAACATAATGACGTCATCACAATATGGTGTGTAACATCAAAGGCAAGAGACTGCTGATTGGCCTGAGTAAAGCAGCGTTAGAAACTAACACTAAACATTTTAGTCCACTATTCCTTATAATGATAATATATAGCAAAACCCTTAAATATGGCAAATTTCTATTAGTCCTTATGATACCTTAACTATTGGGCAGTTTGGCAAGGACGACAGGACGAGTGCCAATTTCTAACGTTGTAACATCTGCCATGATATGTCAGTTAGGGTAAAAACATGGCTAGTGAAGGACCTGGCTTAACATGGGGGACAACTTTACCATGTTTGCTTTCTGTCTGATAGTCAAACTGTAGAACGTTGGGCAAATGATGTGTCAACCTCTGGATAAGTCAGCTATTTCTCTGGTTCCCAAGAGTTCGAGAAAACTGGTTCTGTGTTTGTACAAAATATTTCATCACAATATATAATTAGTAATGGTCACAGAGATGATTACTGACAGATTGAAATGGACACATGATTAGATTGTAGTTTCATTTGCTCAACTTATCTCTATTTATAACCATCTTCCCGAGGCAAGGGAATTAACTGTAAGAGTCCACTTTCCACCCTTGCCGAACTTGACTGAAATTTCTGGACTTGATCGTAGTGCCACCAGTGGCTATTGCGAGTTATGTCCCTTTTGTGCTCCTCCTTTTGACCAATCATATTCCAACACAGAACACTAATTACTAGTGAAAACGAGTGGTAAAACGTAAATATTTTCATCCGTTACACCATTCTTGACACTGCCAACTGTAAGTCGTTAGTGTGCCATGTATTTGGCCATCCTGTCTATGATTGCCAAAGATAAGAGCACATGCAAGTATCATGATACATATAGGAACGTGGGCAAGGTATCAAGATACATATGATATCGCACAGTTGGTGTATTGTCCCAGCCCGCCCTAGATGTTTGTAATGTTTATTTCATGTTTGCTTCAGACACTTTTGTTGAATGTGGGTCATCTGTGTTGGAGAGGCTGCCCAAGTTCCAAGTGTTCGTGTCAGGAGACTTGATTGGTCAGTGCTGTGTCTATCTCAAGCAAGTCAGCGACATCCCCCGCTTGTATAGAAGGACCAACAGAGATGTGAGTCAAAATTGTCACCACAGCAGTTGTGTCCCTTTGAATACTTGACACTGCATGGTGACATTCCTGGATAATCCCCACATGGGTACAATGTGTGAAGCCCATTTCTGGTGTTCCGCTGCTGTGATATTGCTGGAATATTGCTAAACGTGGCGTAAAACCATACTCACTCACTCATTCCTGGCTAATATAAAGTGCCCCGTTTTGTCAAGGGCAAAACAGTCAGGACCAGACTTTAATATTGGTATCAGTAGGTAACCTCTTTGCTTTGTGTAAGTTTTATAAAACCTTGGAGCCAAAAGTTTGGATGTTTCATTGAATCTTTATCTTGAGGCATGGTCACTTCCTGCAGGGATAGAAAACACTGGCATAAATCAGGCTGATCGATCACAATTTGAAGTAACTGACCATTTCTGCATATGGTGGCACATGGTCCTTTGCACAGCACACAGGTCACAAAGAGTCACGGAGAGTCCTTGGATGGGTGACCGCGTTTCGGCAGCTTGGCTCCTGAGAGTTTCTAGGGCTCCACATGTGGCGTCTCCTTGAGCAAGTGACTTTGTTCAAAATGTGCCTCTGTTCACACAGCAGTGAATTAGTACCTGGAAGGATGAGATAGCAATTTGGTTGTAAACCTAGTGCCTAACAGGCACCTTGGGTTGTATACTCCCAAGGGAGCTGAGAATGATTCTTGAGTGCGGATTGATCCAGTGACGGGGTAATAATAATGCTTTGAGCATGCCCCTGAGTGATGTGGAAATATGCGCAATATAAATAGCCTATTATTATTATTAGGTTCCCAGCAAACCATCGACGTACATCATCAGTTTGGGGAAACCGCTGAAACTGTTCCTGGATGAGCATGCAGAGGCCTTGGGAGGTAAACTGCGAACAGGCTTCCTCAAGACAGTCTTCAGCAGTCTAGCAGAACAGTGAGTTGTTGCTTGCCTTAACGGATATATCTAAAGTACTCACGGAAATGAAAAAACCCTGTTTTTTCGATCTCAGATTTTAATTAAATGCAGTTAATATACAAAATATATAAATATTCAAACAACTCAATTAGTACTAATTGGGCCTTGGCTCAAATACAGCGTATCAAAGGTTTTTATGTCTTTTACACGTAAAAGTGTGTAAAAATATGAACAAAACAGACTTTTGTGAAACTGAGCATAACCAGGTGTTAGTAGATCAAGGTGAATGTCCATGACCTATGACACCTTGACGACAGGTGAAAACAGGTGCTTGAAACCCACATGCATGTGATTTGTCAGTGGTTAGTGATTTGTGAGTGGCATTGTGGGATAGTGAATAATCGTCAAAATACCAGAACGTAAAAGTAACATATTCCCTTCTCAAACAACAACTTACATGTCATTATTATTATGTACATAAACATAGCTGTTATTTTTATTGTTGTTTTGATATTTTTTTTCCAGGCTAATTTGCATAATGCCTATAGCCTGTTTCTGCCATGTCAATTTGGACTTAGTTTTATTTTTGAATGTTGAAAGTGCCTACAAATTACTTCCTGTAAAGTACATTTTGTATTGAGCACTGAGATAAAACTTGTTATTTCGTATTTACATCTACGTAATGGTTTGTGTCGATTATTAAATCCAGCAAAACAGTATTTTTTCATTTCCATGAGTACTTTAGTGACTATTATTACTACCTGGATGTACTGGACGCAGTCTCAATGGGGCTGGAGGGCCAGATCAGCTCCCTGTATGTTCCATGCTCATCTTTAGTTAGATATGCCAAGTCGTAATGGGTCCCTAGGATATGCTAGTCTCCAGGTAGATATGCCAAGTCGTAATGGGTCCCTAGGATATGCTTGTCTCCAGGTAGATATGCCATGTCGTAATGGGTGCCTAGGATATGCTAGTCTCCAGGTAGATATGCCAAGTCGTAATGGGTCCCTAGGATATGCTTGTCTCCAGGTAGATATGCCATGTCGTAATGGGTGCCTAGGATATGGTAGTCTCCAGGTAGATATGCCAAGTCGTAATGGGTGCCTAGGATATGCTAGTCTCCAGGTAGATATGCCAAGTCGTAATGGGTCCCTAGGATATACTTGTCTCCAGGTAGATATGCCATGTCGTAATGGGTCCCTAGGATATGCTTGTCTCCAGGTAGATATGCCATGTCGTAATAGGTCCCTAGGATATGCTTGTCTCCAGGTAGAGATGCCATGTCGTAATGGGTCCCTAGGATATGCTTGTCTCCAGTTAGAGATGCCATGTCGTAATGGGTCCCTAGGATATGCTTGTCTCCAGGTAGATATGCCAAGTCGTAATGGGTCCCTAGGATATGCTTGTCTCCAGTTAGAGATGCCATGTCGTAATGGGTCCCTAGGATATGCTTGTCTCCAGGTAGATATGCCAAGTCGTAATGGGTCCCTAGGATATGCTTGTCTCCAGGTAGATATGCCATGTCGTAATGGGTCCCTAGGATATGCTTGTCTCCAGGTAGATATGCCATGTCGTAATGGGTCCCTAGGATATGCTTGTCTCCAGGTAGATATGCCGTGTCGTAATGGGTCCCTAGGATATGCTTGTCTCCAGGTAGATATGCCGTGTCGTAATGGGTCCCTGGGATATGCTTGTCTCCAGGTAGATATGCCGTGTCGTAATGGGTCCCTGGGATATGCTTGTCTCCAGGTAGATATGCCGTGTCGTAATGGGTCCCTAGGATATGCTTGTCTCCAGGTAGATATGACGTGTCGGAATGGGTCCCTAGGATATGCTTGTCTCAAGGTAGAGATGCCGTGTCGTAATGGGTCCCTAGGATATGCTTGTCTCCAGGTAGATATGCCGTGTCGTAATGGGTCCCTAGGATATGCTTGTCTCCAGGTAGATATGCCATGTCGTAATGGGTCCCTAAGATATGCTTGTCTCCAGGTAGATATGCCATGTCGTAATGGGTCCCTAGGATATGCTTGTCTCCAGGTAGATATGCCATGTCGTAATGGGTCCCTAGGATATGCTTGCCTCCAGGTAGATATGCCATGTCGTAATGGGTCCCTAGGATATGCTTGTCTCCAGGTAGATATGCCATGTCGTAATGGGTCCCTAGGATATGCTTGTCTCCAGGTAGATATGCCATGTCGTAATGGGTCCCTAGGATATGCTTGTCTCCAGGTAGATATGCCAAGTCGTAATGGGTCTCTAGGATATGCTTGTCTCCAGGTAGATATGCCAGGTCGTAATGGGTCCCTAGGATATGCTTGTCTCCAGGTAGATATGCCATGTCGTAATGGGTCCCTAGGATATGCTTGTCTCCAGGTAGATATGCCATGTCGTAATGGGTCCCTAGGATATGCTTGTCTCCAGGTAGATATGCCATGTCGTAATGGGTCCCTAGGATATGCTTGTCTCCAGGTAGATATGCCATGTCGTAATGGGTCCCTAGGATATGCTTGTCTCCAGGTAGATATGCCATGTCGTAGAGGGTCCCTAGGGTATGCTTGTCTCAAGGTAGATATGCCATGTCGTAATGGGTCTCTAGGATATGCTTGTCTCCAGGTAGATATGCCATGTCGTAGAGGGTCCCTAGGATATGCTTGTCTCCAGGTAGATATGCCATGTCGTAATGGGTCCCTAGGATATGCTTGTCTCCAGGTAGATATGCCATGTCGTAATGGGTCCCTAGGATATGCTTGTCTTCAGGTAGATATGCCATGTCGTAATGGGTCCCTAGGATATGCTCGTCTCCAGGTAGATATGCCATGTCGTAATGGGTCCCTAGGATATGCTTGTCTCCAGGTAGATATGCCATGTCGTAATGGGTCTCTAGGATATGCTTGTCTTCAGGTAGAGATGCCATGTCAGAATAGGTCCCTAGGATATGCTTGTCTCCAGGTAGATATGCCATGTCAGAATAGGTCCCTAGGATATGCTTGTCTTCAGGTAGATATGCCATGTCGTAATGGGTCTCTAGGATATGCTTGTCTCCAGGTAGATATGCCGTGTCGGAATAGGTCTCTAGGATATGCTTGTCTCCAGGTAGATATGCTGTGTCGGAATAGGTCCCTAGGATATGCTTGTCTCCAGGTAGAGATGCCAGAATAGGTCCCCAGTATCCCATACTTGTCTCCAGGTGGGGATATCTCATGTCTGTCGTAAGAGCAGATTAGAAGTGAAGGAGTGATCATCAGAAGGCTTAGATTGTTGCTCATGCTGTCAACCACTGGTTTGTCTGGCCCAGATCTGTTAATTGGAAGCTGCAAGAAAAATGATTCGAAGTTAACCACAGGGATCTTGAAATGTTGCATTCTAAATGACTCATTGCTCACTGAGAAACACTTTAACACAAGATGTTTATATGTACTGCATAGAGAATGTAAACCTCTACTTTTAAATAACCAGATATTTTGGAGTCACCTCGGAGGTGTTGTCGTCGGTCAAGAAGATGGAGGACAGTCTGAAGCGCCTGAAGAAGGCTCGGGGAACAGAAAAGACTGGAGGGGGGCAGGGGATCTCAGATGATGACAAGATCAGGCAGCAGCTCATCATTGACATTGCCAACTTTGGGGAACAGGTCAGTAGCCATGGAGATATCTGAGGGAACAGCTCGGTAGCCATGGGGATATCTGAGGGAACAGGTCAGTAGCCATGGGGATATCTGAAGGAACAGGTCAGTAGCCATGGGGATATCTGAGGGAACAGTTCAGTAGCTGTCAGGGCACCTTTTAGGGAACACGTCAGAAGTCATTGGAATATCTGAGGGAACAGCCTAGTAGCTGTCAGGGCATCTCTGGGCAACAGGTCAGTAGCCATTGGTATATCTGAGGGAACACTCAGTAGCCATGGGGATTTCTGAGGTAACAGGTCGGTAGCAATGGGGATATCTGAGGGAACAGCCTAGTAGCTGTCAGGGCATCTCTGGGCAACAGGTCAGTAGCCATAGGGACATCTGAGGGAACAGGTAGGTAGCCATCATGCCAACTTAGGGGAACAGGGCTCCATTCCTATGTCCATTACTATGTTAAGTCTGTCTATGGAAGGCAGCTACTAAGATAGTGTTAAAACTGCTATGTGTACGGGCCCCTTAGTCAGCAGCAGCTGCCTACAGGACAACAGGTGGTGCAACCACCAGGTTGATTACCTCGCTAAACATGAGCAGACCCAGCGGTTTGTCCAGAGTAATGTTCTGTATGTCATCATGCTTGTGTTCCAGGTTGAAGCGTTTGGTGTTTCGCCAGGCTCAGTGGAGGGGTATGACAAACTGCAGGAGTTGTCACAGGAGGCCAAGGCTGCCATGACATCACCCTAGACTGGTGGTGGACGCAGTGATGTCCCAATAATATAAGAGTAACGCTATTTTTCAGGGCATTATCGTTTGCAGAAGCCCGAGGTCTTCCATTAACTGCCCGATGAAGGAGTAAAGTTGAAAAGACTGAGGGCTTCTGCAAATGATACTGCCCTGAAAATAGTGTTACCGTTACTGTAGCTAAAATGGATAGAATTTGTTATCAAATATAAAAATACCACAATATCGGTTTTGAAGCATTTACTGCAATCAACACGAATTTCCCTTACCCGCTTTTACAAATATGAAAATGTCATTGAACAAACCAGATGACGTCATTATTGAATGTGACGTCAAATTTCCCTATCCCATTGACGTAACCTAACAACGAGCGTGATAATGGCTGGTCGTCAAGCAATATGAGGGCATTATCAAGTTACAGTGGCCCCCTCATTTCTGATAACATGCAGGCGGTTTGATGATAATCCTATCCATTTTAGCTATAATACAGTAACACTGTATGACAGTGTTGCTTGGGATGGACGTACCTTAGGATGTACACAAACGCCTGAAATTTGAAAAGTTGAATTTTTTCATACTTTTCACTGCATTTGTATCCATTTTCTTGAATGAATATCTTTTCATGGGACTCAAGTGCTTGAATGTGCTCTAAGACAGATGGAGGATTTGTGACAGTACTTTAAAAAGGACTACATTTATATCCCGATGAAGTAGTCACTTATCCCTGTCTGCAACATGGACTGTGGGATGTCAGTGGACTTGGGAATATCCATCGCTGTTTCCATGCACTGATTTATACTAAACACTTTGGTTTGTCAGAAAGGCTGTTGTTAGAAACTTGTCTTGTGGGGCATTTAGAAGTACTTGTATTTTGTTCTTGATCCATTTATGAAACCAGTGTTAGGTCAGATACACCAGTACAATGAAATCTGTATTCAACAACCTGTGTTGGGAATATTTTGTGCATTTTGTTTTATTATTTAATATTCTCCAATTTACTATGCAAAATGTGTAGGGACACCTCTATTCGTAGATATGTAAATTTCAACACTTCGCAATTGTCTGTAGAAAAGATATGTAAATTTCGACACATTGCAACTATCTGTGGAAAAGATATGTAGATTTTGACACTTTGCAACTATCTGTGTAAAGATATGTAAATTTCGACACTTTGCAACTATCTGTAGAAAAGATGTGTAAATTTCGACACTTTGCAACTCTCTGTAGAAAAGATGTGTAAATTTCGACACTTTGCAACTCTCTGTAGAAAAGATGTGTAAATTTCGACACTTTGCAACTATCTGTGGAAAATTGACATAAAAGAAGAAAATATTGCAAAAATAATTACTCATGCATGTTCTTACAGAACAGCAGAGATGTCAATTCCCTGACAATTCCTTTTAAAATACTAACATTTTCAGTTCAAATATAAAGATATATAAATATAACATGATTAGCTCTTGTAGCTCCTACAGAGGTACTCTACCAGCCAGCACTCGTCAGTAGAACATATAGCCTTTCCAAGTCTACCTAAAAATCAGTTACAACTGAATAGGTGCTTTCTAAAGAATATTTGTTTCAAGGAGCTGGAACATTACTTGTGCCTCTCATATCTGTAATGGTTTGTTTTGTGCGTGATGTTGGTGCAATAGCCTACACTGGAAGCTTGTCTCTCTGGATGTACCAGTGTTTACTCCTCAGATCAAGTAGATAGCCAGACACTGCATGGAAGACTTGTGGAGTCTCATTAACAGAGTGAAACTCTATAGTATTAAACATACATTAAATATATCATGTGTATAGGATGCTAGTGGTAAAATGTCATGGAATAGTCACGACATGCAGATAATACTGTGGACCACTTATTGCTTAGGCCAAAAAAAATAGGCTTGGTTCTCAGGCACCGCCCGCATCCTCATAAAGACTGATGCATTTTTAATTTTATTTCCATTTTCAAAAAAATAAACAAATCCTAATACTTAAAAACAGTGTGATCCAGTATAGCACACAGTTACTTCCCTCTACATGCACACTGCTTTACTGCACATCTCGTGTTATAGTCATGGCAGCTATAGGAGTTTGTAAGGTTCTTTATGTAGGGAGGCCCTTTACCAGGTTGATGGTACACAACTGTTTACTTGATTACATACTAGTTTGAACACAGAAGAAAAAAAAACAAACCCCGCACTATATTTTCAAAAGTCGTTGCCTATGAACCAATTATTTTATTTTTTTAAGCCTTAGAAATACATGCCAGAAAGTATACTTGTATATGTCAGTGAGTCAATAGGTTTCAGCACTGCATTCAAAAATATCCAAAGTGTATGACAAGTTCTGTCAGGGTTGTGAGGTCAGAGAGTTAAAGGGACCATCTCTGCTCCCTTATTCCAAGATCAACTCATCAGATGTGCACTTTACTCCGATGTTCTCTTAAATACATAAGACCGTCATTCAACTGTTAAGAAGTGTGTATCTTGTGACATCTACGTCATGAAGTCTGTTATTTGGTTTTATTGTTTTGATGATGCATGTGGGAACCATGTTGTTAATTTGTTGCATGTCCGAGATTGTTTCTGCCTTGTCATTGTTACAATGTGTGTCCGTGTTTATGCATCTTCCCGAGGCAAGAACGTCCACTCGCCTTTTATCAAAGTCTTGTTTCACTCCTGCCACATCAAGCCCACTTTCCTGTGCTAAATATGATTGGACTATCGCACATATCGATAGTCCAATCAGAGAACGTTTCACAAAATAAACATCTACGACTGGTAAACCTTCGTATGAAAGTGATTTACGGCTGCCTGTCTTTGTTGACACAAATATGTTTTTTCATTTTTTAAACCCCTCAACTATTGCCCTTGTTTTTGTGGGCGTCGCCTATGGTAGCCACCCTCTTTTTGAAGCTATACGAGATAAGAACAGCGATCTGATTGGATATCGCGTTTTCATTACAAGGGGCACATCTCTTGATTTATGTGAGGTGGCGCCAGGGCTGAGCCAAGAAAAGTGGCCTTGATGTGGCAAGGGTAGAAACTGGGCTTTGATATAGGCTGGTGGACACGCTTGCCTCGGGAAGATGGTGCTCATGTGGTTACAACAATTATGGTGATAACTGATTTTTGTACAGATATTTGACGCTGCAACTTGCAGTGAGAGGGGTATTTATAGCCAAATTGAAATAAAGGTATTTTCTCATATATACAAGTCTGTTGTCACTGACTCCAGTTAGACTGCTGCTACTGCATGCTGTGTCCTGCCTGGATCTTTGACCTGGAGAATAGGACCACTTTCATGTAGACCCAACTGTTGGTTTGTTGTTTCATGCCACACTCAGCAATATTCCATCTATAGGATGGCGGTCTGTAAATAATCAAGTCTGGGCCAGACGATCCAGTGATTGACATCATGAGCATCGACCCACGCAATTGGGATAGGAGTGAGTGAGACACCAGAAATGGGCTTCATACATTGTACCCATGTCGGGAATCGAACCCGGGTCATCGGCGTTACGAGCGAACGCTTTAACCACTAGGCTACCCGACCGCCCCAATTGGGATAGGATAACATGCATCAACCAAGTCAGTGAGCCTGACCACCCGATCCCGTAAGTCGCCTCTTACGACAAGCTTGGGTTGCTTAAGACCAATTCTAAACCGGAATCTTCACGTGACCCATGGGTCTCTAGGGGCAAGTCCAACATGATACAAAGGAGACGAGGAAGCAATAGAAATTGTAGTGAAATAACTATTAGTTACAAAACATGTCATTAGATCATTAATTTCTGTAATTAGATATGAGGATGTCACTTCAACAGAAAATTAAAAGAAGATATGATTTTAAGAAATTGTTACTTTATATGAAATTATATTGTAAGTAGTGCTAAATTTTCTTCCAGTTGTGAGTGAATGATGTTATATGCCAAAGTCGGCAAAATTTACAGTCGTATGTCATGCATGGTGGTCTGTGTGGTCAAATCGGGGCTGAGCAAACCAGTGGTTGATAGTATGAACATCAATCCTTGCTGTTAGGGAAGTATGGCATGAATTAATTTCACCCTCCACTACTCTGACAAGCATAAGGTACTGAGGATCTGTTTTACCCAGACTCCCACTATGGAACCATGGGTGTTAAACTAGCACTGTGAAGATATGGGTTAGAATTGGTCTTCAGCAACCCATGCTTGTCATAAGAGGTGATTAACATGATTAGGTTGTCAGGCTCGCTGACTTGGTTCATGTATGTCATCGTATCTCATTTGGTAGACAGATGCTCATGATGTCAATCACTGGAATATATAAATATCACTTCCAGGGTGGGGACAGCTGTTGCCATGGAATCGTGCAGCAAGGCATTGTTACTTCAGTTACAAACCAGAATCCTTGTAGTCAGTTATCAAAGCATTAATTTAGTCAGTTGTGGTATCAAAGAGAATGAATAACACAATTCACAAACACAAACAGAAATAAATATTTATTTACACATGAGGGACTCCCTTACACCAAAGAAGTAAGGCCAGGCGTTTTATATTTTTTGGATTACGGACTAATTTTTTAGAAAATGTAAAAAAAAATCAGATTTCCATTTTTTTTCCCTGCCGATAGCCATGTAGTCAGTTATTTTATTTGTTATCATCACCTTTAATAAAAAACATGAAGTTACTGTTGTAAACTAGTAAAGAGATACATGATCAATCTTTGTTGATCTTGAAGCCATGAACATGAATAGCCTCCCTTGACAATTGTCCGTGTTGTAAGTGGCAGAATTTGTATTGTTACAAGGGGCATTATCGTCACAAATGGTGGTCTTTTGAGCACAGAATATGTTCATAAAGTATGCCAGAGGCATTCTCCATTAAAAAAAATGCATCTGGCCCTTTTTTTTTTCTCCTCCAACCCTGGACTTTGGGCTGAAAATCCGTAATCCTTAAAATAAAAAAAAGGCCTGGCCTAATATAACCCGGTGGATTCATGTCCACCAATCCTGACATGAAAGACGATTCGGACGGTAGACTTAAGTATATATACAAGTACATGTGTACCTTCTCAACATATCCTCATAGAGCTGTATCAGTGAATCAGTCCCAAGCAGGACCTTTAGATATCATAATTGGTATTTCTATAGCATATTTTATATAGAAATGCCTTTGAAAAGCTTTTAATAAATCCAATTTTGACAGCATTTCATTCTGTCTTCTAACAACATAAACATTGACATATCAACCGATTCACTTACAAAGTTTCATAATATTACCAATCATCCTTGTCCAAAGGGGCGGTGGGTTAGCCTAGCGGTTAAAGCGTTTGCTTGTCACAGTGAAGGCTTGGGTTTGATTCCCCACATGGAAACAAGGTGTGATGCCCATTTCTAGTACCCCCAGCCATGATATTGCTGGAAAATTGCTAAAATTGGTGTAAATTCCAACTCTCTCCTTGTCAAAAGGTACATTTGACACAAAACATCTAATGGAACAGCTGTCATGTTTGTTCTGTGAATCAATTATATTGTCATTTAATAGATCTATGGTAACTACATGTTTTTCTGTTTTTCCAGTTATGTGTATTATCTTACTTAAAATACATGAAAGTAACAAAATACTGTTAAAAAATCAGATTCAGAATCAGCCTGCAAGTTTAAATAAATCAATAGATAAATTAAAATATGCTGTACAGTACATTCATAATGAGAATCTTTAACTCCCCGCGGGATCGGGTGGTCAGGCTCGCTGACTTGGTTGATGTATGAAGTCGTATCCCAATTGAGTGGATTGATGCTCATGTTGTCAATCACTGGATTGCCTGGACCAGACTCGATTATTTACAGACCGCCGTCATATGGCTGGAATATTGCTGAGTGCGGCGTTAAACAAACAAAGAAACAAACCAAACTTTAACTCCGCTCGTCATTAACTGTGCTGGATTTGAACTAGCCTGTATATTTGTCCTGCACATGTTTTTTGTCGAATTTGATCATGGTATCCAGTACTTACATAACACAAGCGCTTAGTATTAATGCATGAACTTCAAATTTGCATTACAGAAGGTCAGTAAACCGTCAATTTGTTACAGATAATCTGTAGTTGTAACAATAGTGTGAAGTCACAGCTGTGTTTTAACACCAATGAATGAAACCCGCACCATATACTATCAATGAATCCATTGTTTGCCATTTTGCAGCCATCTTCCCGAGGCAAGGGAGTAAACTGACATATAAGTCCAGTTTCCACCCTTGCTGAACTAGGCTTGAATTATGGAGTTATATTTTGACTGAACTAACGAGACTATGCATGGTCAGATCAAAATCGTGTAACGAAATCAACATCCGGTTCATAAACTGCTGTTCAGATTTCGTCGATTGCAGGATTTGCAAAGCATGTGCTATAACAACAAGCCATCAACAGATATTTTCAAAATCTTTTCATGTTTCTAATCAAGGTGCTCATGTAATTTGATGCACTTTGCATAGTAAGACCAGTTTTATCGATCAGATCATCTTGACTGGGTACCGCCATTTTGTTTGAAGCAAATGCAAGTGATATGAGAGGTGGAGTCTGATTGTCAATAGGAGGGACATAACTTGTAATAGCCACTGGTGACACTACGATCGAGCACAGAAATTCCAGCCTAGTTCAGCAAGGGTGGAAACTGGACTTTTACAGTCAGTTAGCTCCCTTGCCTCGGGAAGATGTGTCGCAGCAAAAATCCTTATCCATGTCATGGCAACAATGAACTGAACGTGTGCTATGTTGCAACAATTTTCTTTATCATCATCATTGTCGCAGCATAATGAATGGACCCCCATCCTTGTGACATCGTCAATGAACTGCACCTGGGCCATGTCTTAGTTCCTTCTCGAACTGTTCAGCAGTGAATGTCCCATCCAATCTCTCACAGTTTGGATTGAATACGGAGTACGCGCTGAGGTTGCCATCTCGCTTAGGACCCGTCCTGGTGTTTCTGTACAGTATGATGGACAGCGACACAATGAAATAAACAGCTCCAAACCCCAGTTCCACAAACACTCCCCACAGCAAGAACCACAGGAGAACCTTCAGTATCTTCTCTGTGGAAAAGAATGGCTTCTCCTCGGTGAGGATTTCTCCTTCACTAGATATGGTGACCGAACCTCCTGTGCGAGCAGTGGCCGCTGTCTGATCATCCTGAACACTCGGACGACTGTCTTCCTGCAGGACAAATAACAATGGGTTCAGTTAAATTAATTGTGAGTGATTTAGCATAAACACTTTGTAAATGGCATTGTGTGTTCATAGCTTTTGGCCATGGGAGCAGTGTCAATTTACACTTGTCGGAGGGGTACACAAAGTACGTAATCTAGACTACCAGTTGTCGGACTTCCATTTTGGGAAGCCTCGGTGGCTGAGTGGGTTAGATCACTGACTTTATGTGCTGGCGATTAGGTGCCTCACTCTGGCAGTGTGGGTTCGAATCCCGGACTGGACTCAATCCAAAAAAGTATGAGAATCTGTACTTTACTCAAAAAGTGTAAAAGTGGGTTAGATCGCTGACTGTGTGTGCTTCAAATAGGTGCTTGGTTGGGTAACTCGGGTACTCGGGTTGAGTGGGTCCTGAGTAGGAACTGGGTACCCACAGGACTATCTGGCCCTGTGGTTTGTCATATATATTGTTCGATGACAATAACAAATAAAATCCATGGTTAAACAAGTCGCTAATGTTTGCATTTCTTTGTGACTATGCACACATTTCTTATGACTTTTATATGTTTGAGTAAAAATAAAGCTTCAGTCAAATTCAGTGTACATACATGAGCACATTGTTTTATTCGTGTATCTAAATAGTTCTTGCAAGGGAACAAGTAATACAGTTCCCAATCGGACATTTTGTACCTAACTCTTGAGACCTACAGCAGGTAGGGGTGGGCAATAGGGCGTCAGGTACCCGGGGAGCAAATTTGGACTCGTCCCAGCCCTATTGTCCAGCTCCAGAGTGAGCATGGCTACGGAGAATGATTTCAGAGGAACATGTAACTACAATTCTGACAACTTGTAGACAAATAGTATAGAATGTTAGTTACATTGCCCTGTGTTTCAGACATGTTGGACCAAAAACAAACAATCTATTGCCATTGTCGTGACCTTTCTATACTTGCTGACGGGGGATCAGAAGGTCCGTGGTTCGAATCCCATCACAGGACTTGGAAATTTTATGGCCGCTACATTGGCGCCCAACGTGGGGCTGAGCATGTTCATATTAAATTTGAGCAAAATAAGCCTCGGTACCCTACTCATGGGCGGATACAGTTTTTTTGAAAAGGGGGGGTGCACAATTAAGACCTCTTTATTGTCTTTGGTGGTAATTTATACAGAAATAAAGATTTTTTTCGAAATAAAAAGGGGAGTGCGCACCCCCCCTCTGTATCCGCCCATGCTACTATGCGACCCGGGGCGTGCCTTCTGTTGACTGGGGAGTATGTGGCAGGGCGTGGAGTCATCCCACAGATGACATCCTTACCTTGTCAGCTTGCTGACGGGGTTAACCTCTTTGGTCATGTGGACAAGGCATCCGACCTTTGATCAGAAGGTCCGTGGTTCGAATCCCATCACAGGACTCGGAAATTGTATGGCCGCTACATACACTCAATGTATTTTTGTCATATATATAGGTCTATGTAAAATTCCCAACTTTATCACAATCCAGTTGCAACAATAAGCCCAAGGCAATTGGCAACCACAAAGGGTTTGAAATACTGATTAATATAAATTAAAGTAAGAGAGAAACAGCTAGACGACCCTATTCTATAATTAACAACACGTAAACATTTTTAACACGTCATCTTAAATTTTCGACTGAAGCAAAGATCATATACCGATCTGACCGAACTTTGAAGCTGCCTTCATTATTACGTTTTTCACCCCTTTCCGTGAGGTGAGTATTCCTGAAGCAAAGTTGTATGCTGCCGATGTCAACGTTCCTTTCGACTCATCCTTTTCCTTCGCCTTCTTCGCTCGATAGGCAGCAAGCTGCTCCTCCATGTTTGTTGTGAGTGACGTTGAAAAATTAGAGTTACCCCCCTTTGACCACGCAATCTTCTGTCAAACCCAAGAAGCCGCGAAATCAAAGAACTCTATTCCTGTTCCTCTTTTGTGGGACACTTAGCGACCAGGAAATGTCGGGTTGTTAAAACGGAGCAGTGCATAGCTACAATTCGCCCAATACTCCACCCATATTTGTAGAATTACTCATATTCAAGAGATATTAGATTGTTCGATCTACATACGAACATACCGTTATGTTGTGTGAACCGACGCACACGAAAGCATCACATGTGACCTCATAGGTTCATGACTCGAGATGCACCATTTGTCTCGTGCAGGATTAGCGTGTAAAGTTTGGAAATCACGTGCAGCATATCGTGATAATAATAAAGACACCCTGTGGTAACACTTGACTGAGTTTTATTATTTTAGTTTTAGTTAGTTTTGTTATTAAGTGGTTTAAAATAATACTTTTGGCGGTTGGTATATAATAGACATACTGGTATATATAATATTATCATCGTTATCCCTTCAGTTAATGAGACACTTACATCTACAAAGAGAAAGTTAATATTAGGGTAATTCAGACTTCGAAAACAATAATCGTTAAATTAGCCTTGAAAGCCTGACGCATATTACTTAGTACTATATTTTGTATGTACATACATACGATTTGACCATCTTCCTGGGTATTTACGTTCAACGTGATTGCAATGACGATTATTCAGTATTGCTAACTATAATCCAAATTAACACTCTTACCGAATAATATTTTTCATGAAACTATTGTTCATAACAAAATTGTACTATGACATTAATTGAAGAGTACTTGGATCTGATTGGTCAGAATAAGATACAAATCTGGTATCTATAACGCTACCGATCGTCTCCAAATTGAAAAAAGATGTATCTAATAAATATTATTAGACGACATCAAATGTTAAACCACAGAAGTTTTATCTCCTAAATTGAAATTAGCATAATACAGTAGACTACGGTTTAAACAAACACGCTTATAACGAACTGACGGATATAACGAACTTACTTTTTGGTCCCGACTATGTGCTGTAGTTATGCTGTATCAATGCTTATAACGAACTACGGTTATAACGAACTAAAATTAGTAGTCCCTTTGAGTTCGTTATAACCGTAGATTACTGTATATAAAATATTTAGATATAGCTGGAATTAAAATAAACAGACTATCTGATAAAAAAGGCTGACCTACATGAGTGAGAAAAAAGGCTGACCTACACGAGAGTGAACGTGTGGCTAAATGAGTATGTTCTGTGTCATGAATACTAGATAAGATTAAGAAACATGTGTCCATTGTCGTACCTAAATATATTATATAATATGTTAAAGATACACGACGTGTGCAGTGTAAAGCAACGTGGATACTGAAACATGAAAGCTGTAGTTTCTTTCCTCTTACTTCCAGCCATCCTGCCTGCATGGACAACACCGACACCCAACACCATCGTCGACAGCCTTGCAATGTCCCTTCTCAACTCAAACATGAACCAACTACAAAGCGAGATGTACAGTCTGGTTAGCGAGGTGGCAATTCTGAAAACGGAAAACGCTGACCTGAAGGCAACGTTGAAGACATTGCAGCAGAACAGTGGAGGTAACGTCCTTTCCATGATGCAAACCGATCTGCAACTTCTTCAAAACTCAAATTTCAAATTATCAGGTGATGTTCTTACTCTTCTGAAGAAAATGACAGACATGGAAAGCAAAACTGCAGATCTCAAAGCAAAGAATGCATTCTTAGAGACCAGCATCCTGACAGAAAGACAAGAGAGACATGACTTTGAACACAAGGTCACCAACTTGTCCAGATTACTGACGTCATGCAACGCAATGGAACATCCAGTCTCTGAAAAACCAACAATTGACGCAGACATTGTCTGTGTTACAATTCCAGCAGATGAATTTAAACTCATCGTTTCAAATTCAGATACAAGACAGAAAGCAAGAAAACAGAGTGTTGGAGCATATGTTTGACATCAAGTTTCAAAACGTGACTTTTAAAATCGAGTCATTGTTTAATGAAAGCACTGACCATCTTGAAACTTTACAAGACCTTGTAGATGAAGTTACTATGTTGCAGAAAGATGTGGGACTGGTCAACGTGTCAGCCAGAGCCGAAGAGGTTGCCAGAAATATGTCCGAGCAGGCATTAGAAAAGTTAAGCAAAGATGTGTCCAACGTCACCAAACAAGTCCAAGCTGTGGTCAGCTCCGTTATGAACCTGGAAAGTGTCAAAACTTCACTTGACGCTCGCTTAATGCATATAGGTAAGATGTAGAACTTTACATGACACCGAGTCTATTTTCTTTATTTGAAGGTTATGTGGTGAGGCGGTGGTATAGAAATCTTCAATACAATGCTGCGAGCGTGTCACATATAAATGTCGTTTTGCTTGCAAATTGATAGTTTACATATCTAAAAGTCAAAGATTATGCGTGCAGTATTTGTTGCATCTGTTTAGCTGTAAAATCAAGTTTCTCATTTTAACCATTTTGCTAGCCTTTTCATTTCCTTTGAGTATTTTTTACCCATTTCACATTTTCTTCAACAGAGCAAGAACAGAACGTCTACTTCGATGTAAGTTTCCCTGACTACAGAGTAGCAAGCTTCTCCAATAATGATGTACTGAAGTTCAACGACATCAGATACAACGTCGGCGGAGGCTACAACGCTACAAGTGGGAATTTCACTGCCCCCGTAAAGGGAGTGTATTTGTTTCTGATAAATGGAGTGAACGATTATTTAGGACAATTCATGACGAATTTCAACTTGTTCCTGATGCTAGAAGAGGCGAAAGTTGCTGGTACCACAACCTCAGGAACACTGTCCGGCTCAGGAACGGCGTTTGCTATTTTGGAGTTATCGGCCGGATCCAGTGTCTATGTAACTATAGACAATATGAGTGGATCTGATACGCTCATAGGTCAGTACTTTACCAGTTTTATGGGAGTCAGACTACCTACACTAAGTTGAAATACTTCAAAATAAAGTTGAACATATTTACCCAACGTTTTGTTTTGGATCTAGAAAATACCTAGTCACAGAAAATACCTACTTTGTTCATATGCAGCCCGTAAGCATCGGAAGTATTGTACTGAATACATGCACAACGTTAAGGGTGTACTATATATCCTTCGTAGCTGGGCTTAGAACGTTTCAGCCACCCGCATATATGAATTGCATGTGCAAAATGTGCAGCGAGTGCAAAAAAGTCGTAACCTCACAGTCCCTAATGAGGTGGGTGAATCGAAACCAGCGTGGGGAAACGAAACGAGCGAACGCTCTAACCTCTGTTAATGTCTAATTTTAGTTAAAATTTTAAATTTTAATGAGGCATGTTGAAATATCTGGCAACTAAGTTTAAACCCTTTTATTGTCACACGTATGCCTTTTTAACTTCTGGCATGTTCGAGTTCATAAAATCAGAGACAAACTTGGCGAACTTCAAGAGGAAACCTAACTGCGGGAAAGTCTGGACCCCAAAATCAACTTTTAACTACATGTTTGAACTATTTTTTATCTCAGAGTTAAAGACACAGGTCTTAGCCGTCTACCACTTGGGTAAACCTCCCGATTCTAGGTTAGAAAGAGTGATGGTCGTTAAAGTCGACCGAACGGATCGGGTAGTCGGGCTCACTGGCTTGGCTGATTGCATTTCAGCGATTCCCAATTGCCTGGATCGATGCTCTTGATGTCAATCACTCGATTGTCTGTTTTATATACATATATATATATATATATATATATATATACTTTCGATTATATTCAGAGCGCCATCAAATAGCTGGAATATATTGGTGTTATGCAAGACGCACGCACGCACGCACGCACGCACGCACGCACGCACACATATTATATTCAACTTTGCGCCGTCAAATCTAATGTAACGTTACTCGACAAGGAAAACGGTAAAGTAAATCACCTAAGCGAGAATGAAAAATCCTCTTATGAACACCGCCACACAACGTTAGACCTACAAGAATAGTCTACAACGTTACGAGGAATTATTTATGTGGTAGTCAGCTGATGTCTTCCCTTGTGATCGAGGCCGGGTAGAACAAGTCTTCAGCCACCCATGCTTGCCGTAAAAGGCGAATCTGCTTGTCGTAAAAGGCGACTAACGGGATCGGGTGGTCAGGTTCGCTGACTTGGTTGATGCATGTCATCGTATCCCAATTGCGTGAATCGATGCTCGTGATATTAATTACTGGATTGTCTGGCCCAGACTCGATTATTTATAGACTGTCGTCATATAGCTGGAATATTGCTGAGTGCGGCGTTAAACAACCAACCAACCAACCTTGTGATCGAAAAAAAACGTTTTCACAGAGAAAATACTGTGTAGTACTAGAATATAGTATGTAGTTACGATTCTATATTCTAGTTGAATATAGAATCATAACTACATACTATATTATAGAACTTTTTTTCAACTCGGTATTCGTAATATCTGCCCAGGTTATCTCGAATTGGAGATTGGTGATTTGATATAGTGATATTCTCGAATTGTGAAAAGAGCTATTAAGAGTTTGCTGCATTTAACAGACCAAAATGTATACGCATGATAAATTAAAAATAAAAATTTCGGGGTGGGTGGGGCGGTTGGAATTTTTGTTTGAGACAAGTTCTGTCATTTCACTTCTTTAAGAAACAGACGCACGCACACGCACACGCACACGCACACGCACAAAGCCACACGCACACAGCCACACGCACGTACACTACAGCCCTTCCCTCAGCACAATCTGGATGTACTTGGCCTCTGGGCGTACTCTGTTTGGTACGTGGCCATTATCCCCGATCAGAGACACGAGATCGCCTTCTGTGCAAGGGCGCGTTCATGAATGCTCTTAACAATCAAGTAACAATGGCGTATATCCTGTTGACTGGCTTTATTTGTGATTTCCAATATTACTGTTGCGGTCTCAATAGAGGAGAACGATTGTGTGTTCGCTATCCTGGTAATGAATATCAGCCACGGTGTCTGATAACACATGTATGTGAGTGATATTCGAAGTATTCATATTGCATTCTTTGTATATCATATGTTACCCGTAAAGATCCGGGGTAGAATAGGTCTTCAGCAGCCCATGCTTGCCGTAAGAGACGACTTTGCTTGTCATAGGAGGCGACTAACGTGATCGGGTGGTCAGGCTCGGTTGGTGGACTTGGTTGATGCATGTCATCGTATCCCAATTGCGTGGATAGATGCTCATGATGTCAATCAGTGGATTGTCCATTGGATTGGATGTTGTCCATTCTACAACAGAGAATACCTAGACTCTTTGATGCCTGCAGAAAAATGCTGCCTGGATGTGCATTTGGCTCAAATGCAGCCTGTGGCATGGACAGTATTGAACTTAATACACGCAGCTATTAAGGAGGTATTACACATACTCAAAACATTTTAAGCCCTCCCCCCGTATATGAATAGTATGCCATATGCAAATTGTGTAACCGGTGCAAAAAAGGAATTTGAGTCGAAAAAATTAAGAAAGTTGAGTTAATAAATAAAATAATTTTGCGGGTTGGCCAAGCGGGGAATCGAACCCGAATGCTCTAGCCACTGGAAATTATAAAGTTGCAGCAAACATTGAAATATTGGTATGACACTAATCAGACTTGTTGAAATAGCCGACAACCAAGTGAAACCCTTTTCTTTCGCACACGTATTTGTGTTAGACTTCTCGCATGATCAAGTTCATAAGAAGGCCGTAAAGTAGAGACAATAGGCAGATTCGACGAACTTCAAGAGGAAACCTAACTGTGAGCAAGCCCGTTACCCCAAATTATGTTTTCACGATATGTTTGAACTGTTTTGTGTCTTAGAGTCTAAAACCTGCTTCCTGAAAACCTACAAAATAGACAATTTCGACACATTTTCGCTTTGCTTAAATTTAGTATTGTTTTACTTCCAAAACACGGAAGTGTTGAAATGAACAAATTCTAGTTTTCCTTTAGATGCACAAACATGATAATTTTAATAACGATGGCTAATTGTTCTGACAATTTCTTAAATTATGCAGATCCAAAGTGGCCTTATCATTCCCAGTCCTTTCAGTCTTGTGTCAGAACTACTCTGGGTTTACATCCTTGTTTGGTTGTCCAACGGGGGTGAGGCAAGGGTGTAATCTTCACCGTATTCTATTTTCACTGTACATTGACGAGTTCTTTGATTCGCGATAATGGCAATAGGGGCATCCAGCTGTTTCCAGACCTCATAGAACTATTGGTTCTGGGATTCGAATACAAGATCAAGTCATCAATGCGTGCCGAATACGTGCCTCGTGTGCAAACTGTGTTACCTAAAGACTTGACAACGAGGCGAGTGATGTCCGTCTTTTTCTGCTGATTGAATGCATATTTCTTGGGAGCCTGTCGGCTATAAACTGTATAAACTGTCGGGCAAAAGAAAGTATACACTTGACCAAAAAACAATAAACGTTATTAAAACGTTACATGGCTGAAACCAGTTGCCTAAACACTGCAAACGTAATGTCTAAAACACATCCATCGAAAATATATTTCTTGTTTGTTTGTTGTAAAACGCCGCACTCAGCAATATTCCAGCTATATGACGGCGGTCTGTAAATAATCGAATATGGCCCAGACAATCCAGTTAATGACATCATGAGCATCTGTCCACGCAACTGGGATACGATGACATGCATCAACCAAGTCAGCGAACCTGACCACCCGATCCCGTTGGTCGCATTTTACAACAAGCCTAGTCGCCTTTTACGACACGCATGGTTTGCAGAAGACCTATTCTACCCCGAATCTTCATGGGTGAAAAAATATTTCTGGCTTGTATCACTTTTAGCCACCATCAAATATGGGTATATACTTTCAAACTGACAGGCATTTGCAGGTTAATGTAGCGGCTATAAAATGTCCGAGTCCCGTGATGGGATTCGAACCACGGACTTTCTGACCCGACGTCAGACTCCTTTTCTACATTACCAAAGAGGTTAACAACGTCAGCAAGCTGACAAGGTAACGGTGTCATCTGTGGAATAATCCCCAGAAATACCTGCCAAAAGCAGAGCCCACTATAACATGAGCATGCGTCCATGAATCGCCGTCAAATAGTGATGACACCAGGTGTTCGCGAATACAGGAGCGTACCCTGCCACACCGTTGGCACCCGTCACAAACACATGCAAAAATAAGTCAACTGATCACCTGAAAAACACGGAACATTGTAGTGCAAGTCAAAATAGGGAATTGCATTGGACATCATCTGTGTCACTGATGCGTCAGACTTGGAATTGTTATCCATATGTCTTCCATAAAACGTTTTGAAAGCTTTATTGGGGACTTCAATGTTGTAACCTTGTTCAAATTTTCTTTGAGAATGAGTCGTGAGATGGTCTTTGAAATCGTAGAGAGATCGTAGCTTGATTGTACCCATCTTCCCGAAGCAAGAGAGTTTACTGACTATTAAAGTCCAGTTTCCACTCTGGCCGAACTAGGCTGGTATTATGGAGTTACATTTTGGCTGGACTTACGAGTCCATGCATAGTCGAAATCCGGTTCGTAAACTGTCGTGCAGATTTCGGTCGATTGCAGGATTTTCAAAAAATGTGCACCGCCAACTCGTTGTCAACAGATATTTTCTTAATCTTTTCATGTTTTTAATCAAGGTGCTCACGTGATTTGATGCATTTCGCGACGTAAGACCCGTTTTATCACAATATAGACCTTGATTATCGATTAGATCGTCTTGACTGGGCGCCGCTGTTTTCTTTGAAGCAAATGCAAGTGATACGAGAGGCGGAATCTGATTGGTCCATAGGAGAGGCTTATAAGGGACATAACTCATAATAGCCACTGGTGGCGCTTCGATAGAGCCCAGGAATACCAGCCTCGTTCGGCAAGGGTGGAAACTGGAATTTTAAAGTAAGTTAACTCCCTTGGCTCGGGAAGATGGACTGTACTTCAAACGTTGTGGAATGTAAACACCAAATGTTGGAGCTGCTGGAATTGTACCTAAGAGAAGCACAGCATGGGCCGCATAGTAGGGTTTGGAGACTTATTTTGTTCAAATGAATGTAAACGTGCTTAGTTCCCACCCTGGGCGCCGATGCAGCGGACAAAAACATTCCGAGTCCCTCGATGGGATTCGAACCACGGACCATGCTTATGTAGAAGATGATCAATCATCTCGGCTTCACAGACAGCTGATTGCGAACTCGTCGATGGCCTCGCCAGTGGGTCTTCTTTCAGTCGTTTGTTATAACAGTTCTATGATCTTTGGTAAATGCATGTTGACCCATCTTCCCGAGGCAAGGGAGTTAACTGACTGTAAAAGTCCAGTTTTCACCCTTGCCGAAATAGGCTGGAATTTCTGGGCTCGATCGAAGCGCCATCAGTGGATATTACAACTTATGTCCCTGCTATGTCCCTCCTATTGACCAATCACATTCCACTTCTCATATCACTTGCATTTGCCTTAAACAAAATGGCGGCGCCCAGTCAAGACGAACTGATCGATAATCAACATCTTTATTGTGATAAAACGGGTTTACCTCGCGAAGTGCATCAAATCAGGTGAGCTCATTGATTACAAACATGAAAAGGTTTGTAAAAATATCTATTGACGCCGAGTTGGCGGTACACATGCGTTGCAAATCCTGCAATCGACCGAAATATGCACGCCAGTTTACGAACCAAATGTCGATTTCGTGACACGATTTTGATTGGATTATGTTAGTCAAGCCAAAATATAACTCCATAATTCCAGCCTTGTTCGGCAAAGGTGGAAACCAAACTAATACAGTCAGTTAACTCCCTTGCCTCGGGAAAAGGAGATTGACCCGTCTACCAGTGGTTCGAGACCCGTGAAGATCCGGGGTAGAATAGGTTTTCAGCAACCCATGCTTGCCGTAAAAGGCGACTATGCTTGTCGTAAAAGGCGACTAACGGGATCGGGTGGTCAGACTCGCTGACTTGGTTGATGCATGTCATCGATCCCAATTGCGTGGATCGATGCTAATGATATTAATCACTGGAATTTCTGGTCTAGACTCGATTATTTACAGACTGCCGTCATATAGCTGGAATATTGCTGAGTGCGGCGTTAAACAACCAACCAACCAACCAACCAACCAACCAACCAACCAGTGGTTCGACATTGTTGTGTTTGCTTGTTGTTTTTGAGAATATCTGGGTGTGATCACATTTATCAAACTATTCTACACGTACAATGCGTTTTGACCAGTCCATGGTAGATATATATTGCGATATCTCTGTTCAAACATATTGTACGGGCCTGCTTGTGCTTGGGCTTTTTTATAAGCGTTATAAGTTTTAAAGAACAAATAAACTGTCACGTGTTTGCTTACTTTTCCACTAGCTAGGTATCTGTTCCCTCGAGCCTGATGTTCATCCGTCAAGTATTATCTCAAAAACTTTGCCTGACAAAGGCTGATTTCAACACTTAATAGTTTTACCACAAATAGCTCCAATTGCATCTCTTCATCTGCCGTGTTGAGTGCGAGAACAGATCCGTTCCGTCACAGGCGTTAACACCAAGATCGGTTGATACGTTTCTGTTTGGGGAATATTTACCGGAAGTCGGGTCCCAGTACCACGTGATTATACGTCTGATTATATCTTGCTTTCTTGTAAAGTCTTTCTTTGAGCCATTCTTTATCATTTTGCTGTGAAACACCTTCATCATTTTATTGTTTGTTTGGTCGCCATTATATGCCTAACTCATCAATACCCAAACTCTCAACACCCTAACAACACCTCCACACCCTAACACCTCAACACCCTAACACCTCCACACCCTAACACTCCACACCCTAACTCCCCAACACCTAACACTCCACACCCTAATTCTTCAACATCCAAACACATCCACACCCTAACTCCCCAACACCTAACACTCCACACCCTAATTCTTCAACATCCAAACACATCAACACCCTAACTCCCCAACACCTAACACCTCCACACCCTAACTCCCCAGAACCTAACACTCCAAACCCTAATTCTTCAACATCCAAACACATCCACACCCTAACTCCCCAACACCTAACACTCCACACCCTAATTCTTCAACATCCAAACACATCAACACCCTAACTCCCCAACACCTAACACCTCCACACCCTAACTCCCCAGAACCTAACACTCCAAACCCTAATTCTTCAACATCCAAACACATCAACACCCTAACTCCCCAACACCTAACACCTCCACACCCTAACTCCCCAACACCTAACACCTCCACACCGTAACACTCCACACCCTAACACCTCAACATCCCAATTCCTCAAAACCCTAACACTCCACACCTAACACTCCACACCCTAATTCCTCAACACCCTCACACATCCACACCCTAACACATCCACACCCTGACTCCCCAACACCTAACACCTCCACACCGTAACACTCCACACCCTAACACCTCAACATCCTAATTCCTCAACACCCTAACACTCCACATCCTAACACTCCACACCCTAATTCCTCAACACCCTCACACATCCACACCCTAACACATCCACACCCTGACTCCCCAACACCTAACACCTCCACACCGTAACACTCCACACCCTAACACCTCAACATCCTAATTCCTCAACACCCTAACACTCCACATCCTAACACATCCACACCCTGACTCCCCAACACCTAACACCTCCACACCCTAACACTCCACACCCTAACACCTCAACATCCTAATTCCTCAACACTTTAACACATCCACACCCTAACACTCCACACCCTAACTCCCCAACACCCTAACCTCCAACACCCTTACAACACACCCCCCCCCCCCCCCCCCCCCATATATTCCTTTTGTATGACCTGGGAGCCATGTCACAACTATCGGGTGAAGAGGTTAAAAGACCACGAAAGTGTAGTTCAGTAACGTGGCGCATGTTTAATTTCTATTTCCAATATTCGCACTATAGTTTATTATGACATTACAAGAAATTAATACAAATAATGTAAGAAACTTGACATATCCATAGTGAAATCTCTGAAAGGAGGACTATGCATCTCGATTTGTTGCCCATTTTCGGGGTTGGTGGCGATGCTGTAATTAGTGATATTAAACTGACACATCACCTGTATGTAATTAACGTATCATTGCTCAATATATACACGCAGTACAGTTTGGGTTTTCAAACACACAAAGCGGGTTTTACTGACTTCAATCCGATGTGCACGGGACTGCCCGCTGACCTGAGCTTAATTTTCCTTTCGGACATAAATCATTAACTGATTCCGTTCATAAACTTACAGTCAGAAAAACAAATAGAGAAAAATCTACAGAATATTCAAAATACCTAAAATACACAAACCTTAATTATAGAAAGTAGTTATTATAGAACATTACACGGAGAGTTGATAACAAGAGTTAATTTGCGTCTAGAGCTAATAGGGTTAAATCTAAGAAACATGCTTTTGTCCAGATTGCCTCTCGCTGATGAAAACTGATTTATTTCTATCTCGGCAATCGGGGCATTGTATGCACCAGAGCCGGCCAATAACTCCCGTAAGTCTTAGTCGTAATATTAGTGGGCTTGGAGCTTACAGCGCTTAGCATTGTATAGCCGCCTGACGCTGTTAATCTGGCACCGACAGTTGCATATAGGCCCATAGGCAAGTACCTGACGACAAGCAAAGCTATAGATTAGCTATGTGTACCTTACACGCCATAGCGACCCATTCACGCAACGTACAATCCACTACATGCAACGGCCCATAACACTGGCCCGGGCGAATTTTGTGTGGAGAGAGAACGTGTGTCTGTGTGTGGTGTTTAGATGAATATGAACGCCTATCCGGCAACGAACAGGTCGTACGATGGGTGATTTTTAATTTGTGAGACACGGGAAACGTGATTTGGACTATCCTGCAAACGACAAGAAGATCCCGTTTTAATGAGTGAGAGCAGACGACAGTTGGTGAAGTGGATTGTGGGAGCTTCAGTGTTACTTTTTGACGGTGTTTTAGTGCGACGATATATGTATGCATATTTTGTGATATGAGGAATGAATTATCCATCCCTGCCAGTGACGTCAGCTTGGATTAACTGATGAATTGTGCTTTTGCCAGTTCTACGACCAGCTTTGGTTATATGAGCTGTGAATAATTCTATGAGCACCTGACGTGTATTATGTTTGATATGCCTGAGACCTGTGCCAAGAAAACGATTTACTCGACTCAAGGATTAACACACATGATTTGGGTGAGTACTCTGATCACATCTAGCACGGAATTGTGCTTGTTCTGACAATGTGAATTTTCGTGATTGTAGTACTTTCAAGCTGTAATTGATTTCCACCCCGAATGTCCTCAAAGGATTAATATCTTCTTGAAGTCGGTGAAAAGAAAATATATGAACAAAGCTATGGAAACTATAAGAGAGGAACGTAGGTTGGACGGTGAAGCCAACGGTGCCCCTAAATCAGACTCCATTCTGTTGAGGCTGAGCAAAGGGTATCGGCGAAGCAAGGCCGAACAAATTCTTCGACTTTTGAAGGATCAAGAGGCACTGAATTCTAAATTTAAGGAGTTCGACCTGAATGATACCGCGAAGGGCGACGACGGGGACGACAGTGATAACTGGAGTATTGCCGGAAGTGACGCATCCTCGGTGACGGAACTTGATGTCAAACCGGCGAAAAAGACTTTGAGAAAGCAAAAAAGTGGTCGATCCAAGACATCGATTGGATTTCATAGGGAGGAGCAATGTTCCGACATTTCTAGTGACTCTGATTTCGGGGATAGCATAATGCGTTGCGAGGAAAACACCCCGAAATCTAAAATCACTCGACATAAATCTATGAATGTTAGGAGCTATGTGAGAGGTAATGTGGATGATAATTCTTGTGATATGAAACAGGCCACTGATTTCGATGTAGCATCTGTGAAATCATCTCGTCCCAAATCAAGCATAGTGTCTTTTTCTGCTCGAAGCAGACGACCCCTTGTGCCCGAAACAAGCATTCACATCCCACTGTCTCCGCGGACAGACGACGCCGAAGTGAACAGACAACGGAAGAGGATTTCAAATGTCAAGGTCGATCCTCTTTTCCGAAGAACGGGAGTCCACGGGTTCGGTGAGTCCCTCGAGAGGAGAGACAGTGTTAAATCGGAACATACTCACGCCCCTTCTCCCTCGAACCTAACACCACGACTCTCTTCCAGGAAAATATCTCCGGTTGAACAGGGCGCCCAGGACAGATCACCCTCTCTATCCTATGACCAAGGCCGTGCTATTCAAAGCAGGTCTGTTGGACGGTCTACATCTTTCACAGAGAGGGGTAAATATGCAGATAGGGCTTCACGACCTTCTAGAAACATCCTGTCTGTTGATAGCCACCCTTTACAGAACCAGACAGAGTCGTCCCAGGCACTTGGTGGTCTTCGGCGTCCAGCGCCGTTACAAGCATCTTCCGGAGAGACTTCTCTAGGAGGTATCCGGAGGCCGATCTCTGGATCTAAGAAGACTCGGAAATATGGAGAGATGTCCAAGTCCTCCGGGAGAACACCCTTGAACATGATATCAGACCGAACTCAACCTGTTGCTGTGATGAAGCTACCCCCACTGGAGGCTTCGCTGAAGAAGACAGTGCCAGACAGAGATATCCTATGCTATGGCAAAGAGGCCATGGTATAATTACAACACTGTGATCATCTAGTACTTTATTCACTGACACCAATGTGACTATATGTCATTGGTTATAGGCATAGCACTGACATTTACTTTAACCCCAACATTGTCTTTAAATGACAGATAATGAATTCTAAACTGTAATATTTCACTCAAACTTACTGCTGATTGAAATGCATAAGTGAGACTGGGAACTTCGTTGACTCAAGCCCTTGTGAGTATGTAACACTCGACTTATCAGTAGTGCGAGACAAGCGAAGTGCCGTTATTGGACCGTATCGTTGATAAAGAGTTACAGAGTCTATAATGTTACATCGTCCCAAATGATATTTCTAGTTCAAGGAGTTCGAGGTGTTCAAGGTGTTCGAGGAGTCCAAGGTGTTCGAGGAGTCCAAGGTGTCCAGGGTGTTCAAGGTGTTCGAGGAGTCCAAGGTGTCCAGGGTGTTCGAGGAGTCCAAGGTGTTCGAGGAGTCCAAGGTGTCCAAGGTGTCCAGGGTGTTCGAGGTGTTCAAGGTGTTCGAGGTTTCATTGCAATATGTAATAATCTGAACACTTTCAGAGACGCCATTTTACCATTATGAGCCCGAACGATCAATACGATCTAACGTTCTCAAAATCGGATTTTCAACGAGACCCCAACAAATGCAGTGTCTTCATATTCTCAGGACCACATGTTGATCAGCAGGACCTCGACACTGACTGTTGATCGGCTTGACCACGACGCCGAATAATTTTGTGGTATTGAGATTCCCCTGTAAACACGTGTGATGAAGAACCACAATCAGTGTTGTGTCCACGTTAATCCCCTGTACATCCCAGACATACCCAGAAGATACCAAATACTATGTCTTACTACTAGTCTATCCAGAGCAGGACTGGACGAGTTATGATGAAAAGGACCATATCGGTCCAATGGAAACGTCAACATCTAAAAGTACAGAAAACGTATCGGACATATTCAAAAAAAATTACACTTGATTGTTCGGACCAATGGCAGGATAAAGAGTGAGTGAGTGAGTGAGTATGGTTTTACGCCGCTTTTAGCAATATTCCAGCAATATCACGGCGGGGGACACCAGAGGCAGGATATAGAAAAGGTATGGCTAATAATGAACTAAAAAGGCCGATTTGTAACAAGGAGCAAATAATTTACTGACAGGATATTTTTACCATATAAACTTCACTATTTATGCCTTTCTCTCGAGAAGTTCAAAGCCTTATCTTCACATACAGCGTATTAATAAATATTTAATCCATCCTAGAACGGATAAATCAGCCTTTTAATAGATTCTTCCATTACGTCTATATTTTAAGTGCAATTGAGTAAGTGTTAAAAAGAACAGTTTTTGTTCATTTATGTGAACACATCTGGCAATTTCATAAAGACTTGTAAACGTGTTGGGCCTTTCTTAAATAAAGCAGGCCTTATGGATTGTAAGGGATCCTTATCGGGCCTTGTCCTTGCCGTGGAAACCGTTCTCGGCCGCTACACGATATTTTGTTAAATTTTGCTGTTATTCTGTGAGTTTTATGACGAATATTACCAAGGACATGTGTTATTTGTCACAGATCTAGTATGTACATATACCACACTCAGTAAATACATGTTTAATCACCTTGATGTCTTACAAATAATAACAAATATTTGACTTGCTACACGTATTGATGATTTGTATTTATTCAAATGTCCATTGACCTCGGCAAAATGTGACATAGTGAATTTATCTGTGATATGCATGGACTGTGATATACTGGTTGTTGATAAATGATCGTATTTGATTACGTACGATTCAAGCGTGTGTTTTGACATGTCTGTTTTTCTTGAACTGCAATGTCCCCGGATCGATGGCTGAATGGAAATGTATGTCTCTGAACTACCGGATCGTAGCTTTAGTTTTTGTCATCTGGTCATCCCTGTATAACTGGGGAATTGAAATTCGAGAACCTCTACACTAAACTACGGATATAGCGAACTCAAAGGGACCACAAATTCTAGTTCGTTATAACCGTAATTCGTTATAAGCATATATACAGCAGAGATACAGCAAATGGCAGGGACCTAAAAACCAGTTCGTTATATCCACCAGTTCGTTATAAGCGTGTTCGTTATAACCGTAGTTTACTGTAATTATTTTCAGTAGAATATGGTGTCAGTCACGTACCTGTGCTGAATGCTTTGTTTCGTGAAGTTCGTGATATTGTGGGATTTATTATCTAAACCTGGTTTCTAAGGGTGATAACGCTTGAAAGAGAGGTAAGCCTGAATTGATACAGATCTCAGACGTTCTTTACTTTGGCTAACCCCACGAGTTCGTGTTTTGTTTGTTGTCTGAACCTGAACGACACATTCAGCAATATTCCAGCTATATGACGGCGATCTGTTAATAATCGAGTCTGGACCAGACAACCCAGTGATTGACATCATGAGCATTGACCTTCGCATAAGGGTTACGATGACATGCATCAACCAAGTCAGCGAGCCTGGCCACACAATCCACTTAGTCCCCTCTTAGCGCGTTTATGGTTATGATAAACCGAGAAGCGTAATCAGGACGAATATGGGATTCGAACCCACTATAATAGTTTCTGGTGCGCGTAGGGGATGCAAATGTACACAGCGAAATGCGGCACCTTAGACGACTGGCCCACCCGTGTCCTCCTGATATCATTGAACACCATGTGTGTATGGTGGTAGTGAGGTGGTTATGTGTGTGTGTGTGTGTGTGTGTGTGTGTGTGTGTGTGTGTGTGTGTGTGTGTGTGTGTGTGTGTGTGTGTGTGTGTGTGTGTGTGTGTGTGTGTGTGTGTGTGTGATGTACTAGTCCGGACTGATGCCGATTTAATAGTGCTAGCACACTGAGATAGCATGCTGCGGTTTAACATGAATACCCCACTCAGACACAGTATACTGACTCTGAGCCGACCAGTCCTTGTTTTAGCCCCTTAATGCCGAGACAGGGTAACAACAAGTACCATCTTTTAACGTCTTTTGGTATGACGCGGCCGGGGATGTATAGTGGTAGCACGTGTATACTGTAGTTTATAAATAATAATAATAATAATTCTTATATGATATAATATATTCAACAAATCAACAATGACCAGACAGTATATACGACTAACTACAAGTAGTAACTACTAGACGATAAATGGTTCGTCATTTGGTTGGTAACCCTAGCTACAGGTTGCTATCACCACTCTTATAAAAATAATAGGATGATAAGAATGTTCATGCCAGAGATATTTCATGAATTACATAAATTAATGATTATAAAGCATGAGGGTGTGACGTCTTTTCAGGCATTTTACTGCACTATTATTGATCCGTTTGCCACGTTTTAGATAATTGTTTGTTCACCGGCTCAATATATTTTTTAAAACTAATCTCTCTTTGTTTTTTTTTCAATTTAAAACGGCCGCACTGTTTAAAGCCAGTAACTACATGTACTCCTGTATCCAGAGTCCCAAACAGCCGTGTTGTTCCCACTGGCGGAGAAAGCGGTCAATTTAGATTTAGATTTACTGCAGTCTTACGTGTGAAATGACATTGTTCAATATCAAAAGAAAAAACGATTTATATTTGTAAGTACGTTGTGACTTTGTTCTGAGCATTGCTGCTCTGCTAACCCGAACACACAGCCCTGATCACACAGACCTGAACACACAGCTCTGAACACAGACCTGAACACACAGACCTGAACACAGACCTGAACACACAGACCTGAACACAGACCTGAACACAGCCCTGAACACACAGACCTGAACACAGACCTGAACACACAGACCTGAACACAGACCTGAACACACAGACCTGAACACAGACCTGAACACACAGACCTGAACACAGACCTGAACACACAGACCTGAACACAGACCTGAACACACAGACCTGAACACAGACCTGAACATACAGACCTAAACACACAGACCTGAACTCACGGACCTGAACACACAGACCTAAACACACAGACCTGAACACACAGACCTAAACACACAGACCTAAACACACAGACCTGAACTCACGGACCTGAACACACAGACCTGAACACACAGACCTGAACACACAGACCTGAACACACAGACCTGAACACAGACCTAAACACAAAGACCTGAACACAGACCTGAACACACAGCCCTGAACACAGACCTGAACACAGACCTGAACACACAGTCCTGAACACAGACCTGAACACAGACCTGAACACAGACCTGAAAACACAGACCTGAACACACAGTCCTGAACACAGACCTAAACACAATGACCTGAACACACAAATTTGGACACACAGACCTGAACACAAAGACCTGAGCACACATACCTGAACACACAGACCTTAACACAGACCTAAAAACACAAATCTCGACACACAGACCTGAACACACAGACCTAAACACACAGCCCTGAACACAGACCTGAACAAACAGACCTGAACACACAAACCTGAAGTACGGTTATACTGAATATAATACACCTTAAACTGAAAAACGAATTAGTTCAACCCGTTTTCTATAATCAAATATATATCACTGTGTGGGAATAGTGATAACAATAAGTGACTCACCAGCTGGAAGTGATAATTTGAGTTAATTAAGTATAATTAAATAAGAGGCCATCCATTTAAAAATATATTTCCTGAAATAATTTGTCCTCGGGTTTACCAAAAACATCGTTGTTCACTTCCTGAATATTCTGGGTGTCGTGGTGATAAAAAATATGTGTTTCACTCTCCTTGAAATTGTAGGTATTAAAGCACTTACTGAAAATATTTTCTGTTTAAAAAAAGAGTCACGTTCTTTTAAATATATCAACTCGTGGATTGATCAGGAAATATATTCAGGAGAGGGTGCGTTATAGCAACAAGAAAAAAACAACAACGAGAAGCGTTACAGTCTCCATGGGAACTTTTAGGTCAAGTGTTTTATTCTCTATTCGTTATTCACATGAATGGTATAAGTCTGTACACTCGGACTACCACTGTATACGACACAGCGGATATATCGCTATATCCGCTTTCGGCCTAACAGAGCTGAGCCTAACACCTGGACCATGATTCGTTAATCCGGACGAACGACACATCTGTATTAACGGGTTTAATTGTGTATCAATACCTCCATTGTTATAGAACCCGGATGTTTTGATGAAAAATGAAAGAAAAATACTACTTTGATTAATAGGCTATATGTAAAGGAGTTTGGTATGCGTGAAAACCATAACACTGTAACACGACCTTGGGGAGTCAGTCAGGCTTAAATCTTATGACAGCGTAGATAAGCGAAGACAATGATTTGGTAATAGATAGTTTTACGAGGGGGGTCTTTGGCCATAGGTAATGTACACCCTCATGTGTTGCCGGGCGGTGAATTATTGTTATTCGTAATAGGTACACTTCTGTAAAATGTGTACAGCATTAAAGGTGTACGGTCATAAATTAAACGCAGTTGTTAATTCGTGTTGTGTTCTCAGAACAATCGGAGCATGGAATACCCATTGTATAGCCATGCAATATCCGCACCTATCTTTTGTAGTGATTCGTTCAAATGTTGTTTTGGAAGATATTGTTAATAAATCAAGGGGTAAAAAAACCAATCATCTGCCCCAGCGACATATCTGATAAAAGAAAAACACGACCAACATTAACCTTGATCGATCACATTAAATCAAGGTGCTCTCTATGGGAACACATTTAATGAAATACGTGCCAGACTCGACAATGATCCTAAAAGCGCACTTCAAAGTAATCCATTGTAGAGACCCCAAGGCGTTGGGTTCTTGCAGATTTGTCCGATAATCTTAATATCTGCCTTGAAAGGGAATAGGCTTAGAAGCAAATCCCGGTCATCGTGCAGGGTCATTCAGGCCGCTTGATGGCGGGAGCTAAACGTGGTTATAGACCTTAATCAGCCATTATTCCTGATAAAACACGACCACGGCTGACAACCATGTTAGCTACATCAGAACATTCGTCGGTTAATTATTGTCACCTCAGATCAACCTTTTAGATTATTAACATGATAATATGTTTTTTGGGTATAGTATTCAGCCATTTTCATGCAGTTAAACCTCGGTAGTTTGGACCCCGTGGATTCGGGCAACCCGCCTTTAGGCCCAGTACTGTTAGGAACATAGTAACTGAAGCGACATACGTAGGATTCGTAACAACGGCAACTTTCCAATCCGGATGATGTCAGAGAACGCTGCTGTGAGGTTTGACGGTATTTCAGTGTGCATCCGCTTGTGTGTTGAGTAGTAGAAATAACAGAAATATACTGTCCAGATAGTAGACACATTCTGTCAACATAGTAGAAACATTCTGTCAACATAGTAGAAAGATTCTGTCTACATAGTAGAAACATTCTGTCAACATAGTAGAAACATTCTGTCAACATAGTAGAAACATTCTGTCTACATAGTAGAAACATTCTGTCAACACACTAGAAACATTCTGTCAACATAGTAGAAACATTCTGTCAACACACTAGAAACATTCTGTCAACATAGTAGAACATACTGTCAACATAGTAGAAACACACTGTCAACATAGTAGAAACATTCTGTCAACACACTAGAAACATTCTGTCAACATAGTAGAACATACTGTCAACATAGTAGAAACACACTGTCAACATGATAGAAAAATTCTGTCAACATAGTAGAAACATTCTGTCTACATAGTAGATACATTCCGTCAACATAGTAGATACATTCCGTCAACATAGTAGATACATTCCGTTAACATAGTAGAAACATTCCGTTAACATAGTAGATACATTCCGTCAACCTAGTAGACACATTCTTTCAA